GTATTAATCGTTTTTCAAAAATATGTACAGTGGAACCTCGATAACTCGAATCGGTTGGGGGCGAAAAAAAAATTCGAGTTATTGAAAATATTTTTTTGGCTATCTTGTCGTATGCGCTCTACCGGCAACATTGCGACTGCAGTATGCGCTCTACCGTGTTTTGCCACTCTACAATTATATTTAGATTTTAGACAATAATATATTCTGGTAATAAGTGGGATGATGTAAGTGGTTTTAATGAAGATCTAGATCAATGAAGCAAATCTGGAGTTGTACCACACATATTTTTCACAATTTTAAGCCTAAGAGGCCGTCATAAACTTTCAATCCTTTGGGTATATGTGCCTTTGATCTACGAAATTGGCGTAAAACGACTTAGTCATTGTACCCGTGGTTCGAGAGTCCATTATACCCTGACCAACTATCGGAATATATTGTAGACCCAACAATAACCTATCTTTGTATAATTTAGTGCAGTCATTTTGTCCCTCTTTTAGACAACGATAGCCGAATACCTATGGTCCATCAAGCCGTCTTCCATAGTTTCTTGCTCCTTTTTCTAGAGGATCAACGACTAAATATGCGATCAAAAATTATATGATGTAGGAAAAGAGAGTCCTAATCTTAATTACCACGATTATCTTTATTAGGTACCACATTAATAAAGATATAAATTGCATAGTAGAGCACATATAACAAGTGTCCTAGTGTCCTGTAATCGCAGGTAGACCACAATTTGGGATAGAGCGCCTACGACAAGATAGCCATTTTTTTTATTTAAAAACACAAAGACTTCAATTTTTTAATTATTTATTTATGTATGTATTTACTAATAAATGTATAATGTATGTACTATGTAGGTATGTATATTGTATACTAATAAAGTAGATAAACGTAACTTATCGGAGATATAGAGATATATTGGAAGCCAGGGGCCAAGGTATTCCTTCGAGTTATCGAAAATTCGACTTATAGAGGTTCGAGTTATCGAGGTTCCACTGTATTTGATAGTTATATTTTTAAAGAATAATTTTTAAACAATTTAATTTCTAATATTTGATTTAGACATTTTGGTATTTTAGAATTAAAAATTGACATGGACATAATTTGAACATAACTATTATAAAATTGTATGTTTATTAAATTGTAGGTATTTATTATGAAATAGAAATAAAATAAATACATCCAACATGTTGTTACTATATATTGGTACTTGGCAAATATATAAAATGTATAATATAATATCGGCTATGTCTTAAAAGTTGTATTTTTGTGATTTAATTTTAAACGTCAAAATATATATTTTAACTGTCAATAAATTCAACAATTGTGGCTTGGCGTGGCGCGTTGGTTGCTACCAGTCGCGGAATGCGACTGGGAGTAAGTAACGGCCACAGCTATTAGCTACGGGATGGGTGACCACCCGGGTTCATAGTAGTTAAAAACCTTGCCACACATACACGTGTTTGCTACCTACCATAACAACCGTAAACAATCGTAAAAAAAACAACCTATATTACCAACCTTACCCCTACCACAGTTTATAACCCCTACAACAGCTAATGGTCTTAGTCGCCGAGCTTAAGTTCAATAAAAAAAAAAAAAAATTAACAATTGAATTTGGTATCAATTAATATAGTTATCGTCGAAAAGTCTTTTTTTGACAGTTTTGATATTTATCGCCTACTCTGTATGTTGTAACTAAAAAATAAAATAATATTTGATTATGTCCAAGATTTACTTAAACAGTACAGATACATAATATTATTATTGATTACAGAATCGTATAATATATTAGTTTGGATAAATAGATGCTGATTGGTTGATATTATTTTTGTTTCTAATTTATTGAATATCAAATTATTTAAATAATACCATTACTTTTCCTATTCATATTTGCACTATCTGCTGTTTATTGACGACTTAGTAAAAAAAAAATCTAAATAACCATATACAAGCCAATGTCTAATTCGCTAACTAAAATGTATTTATTTGTTCGTTCCGAAATGAATTTTCTTACTACGAAAATGCATAACTTCCTTTTAGAGGTAAAATAAATTCATCCAACATGTTGTTACTATATTTAGGCACGAGGCACCTATATAATGTAATGACGTTGGTAGGTATAATATAGTACCCAATATGTGTTTAGAACAAGTAAATATTATTAAGTGATCGTCGTGACCTAAAGTAAAAAATGTATATTCATAATAATATTATGGTGTAAGGATTTCCGCAAGTAGAACGCACACTCTTTTCTTATTTATTGATGTCTCTGTGTAGAACCGATAATCATCACGTTATTACTATGTATCGGGTGATTCCATGACAATTATTATGCATCACCACGATTTACTATTGAGAGCGTCATTGGAGAAATGCGTATTTTTCCGCAATATTACTATAGTAACCACCTCATAAAGTAGGCGATAATCACATGGTATATAAGATATCATAATATTACGTAACCTTAATAATAATAATAATAATAATGGTTCATTATAATATGAATTTATTGTGATGTATACAATCCGATCGAATTTAAAGTTGATAAAATGTGCATTAAATTGTGTACATAAACGGGGTCACGTGCCATAAGGTATTGTAACGGTGTACCTTCTGTCGAAGTACACTTATTTTTTTACCTTTCAGGCGACCGAAGGCATCGAAGATAAGCCCCGGTGGCTAATATTTCATTAATAATTTATGCATCCATGCATGTTATTGTATTATTATAACATTATAATATAGGCACAAGCTGAAGAAAAAACTTAGATACGTTTCCCGCATATCAAACGAAATCTGTAATGTCTAAACCTCTGTGAACAATACTGATATTATTATTTCATTGTCTGGTGTTTAAAACTATACCAAACGTATTTTATACTTTTCTGCAAACGCGTTTTCAATAAAACTACACGCTGTTTCTAAGTAAAATAAAAAACGTGGAGTTAAAGAAACGAGTGGTAGACAACTATTATACAGTAGTATATACAGGTTGTAACTTGTAAGTTTGTAACAGGAAGATCTGACAAATTAAATAACTTTGATTCTGATCAATATTTTTTGATATTTTTTAATTTTATATAATTTATTTAATCTTGTGCTACACGTATTATGTAACATTTAACATTATTCACTTTTAATACTGAAAATAAAAATAAGAAATTTTAGTATAGTTTTTAAAAAAATTTTGATTGAAAAAATATATTTTAGTCTAGTAGATTGTTTTTTAAAATTTTAAAATGTTTTGAATTAAGACTCATTAATTTGAAAAGGTTGTAATAACTTTCTAAAAATACTTTTAACAAGTACTTATTCAAAAATTCCCGTAAAAGATGGATTACTTTGCAATCAAAATGTTTCCAAAAAATGATTAACATAGTTACAATTTTGAATTATTTATTTTAATAGATAGTTAGTTATAATATTTTTTTCAAAAAAGAGATTTATTATAATATTGGTCTATGAACATTGAACATAAGCGGTGGTTTGATGGAAAATTATGATTCCCACATTAATAATAATCTTAGATTTAAATTATTTAAATTAAAAAATTTTAATTTAATACGACGTATTGATGATAAGATTTTTATGTTAAACAATTAACCAATTTTATTTATTGACTAATAATATATGTTTAAAATTTAATTGTGTAGCAGATACGAGAGTTTAAGTTATTTATTAATATTATGGGGAATAACGAATAGTTCCTGCATCAATAATAATAATCAAAAATATAGAAAAAACTTATTCGTTGTAAATATCATATAAATGTATGTTTTATTCGTATTAATTATAACTACAGGTTATTTTTTTTTTTTGCCTATACGTTTGATTTACGTTAAAACATGTTTACTTGATTATAAACATAATATCAATCATCGCTAATTTCTCTGTTTTTACTTGAGTCTAAGTAAATTTTCATCATAGGTACTCCGTTGAAATCAAACATATTATTTAAAGGTTTCTATTTTAGAAAATAAGGATTTAATTTTTGTCTACATTCGCATCTCTATTTAAAGTACAATAGACGTACTATAACAGAATCATATTATACCGAATTCATCTACATGGCTTTCATTTTATGTGATTTAAAGTTTCTAAAATAAATAAAATGTAGCACAACTTTTTAATAACCACCTTTTTATTATGTATATTTTAATATCCAATTTATTTTGTTATTCATTCTAGAGGGTTTTTATTTCATAAACGGGAAGACTTTTAAAATAATTTTTAAATGTAAAAATACAAGGTAATCGAGCGAGTACCCTTCTAGTTTAAAATTGACCCAATTTCAACTATTATCAATCATCTTATATTATGTACCGTTTTATAGATAATATTATTTTAAATAAAATAAAGTTCGATTTATTTGATTATTATATTAAACAAACATTATATTTCAGTATTTTTATATCCGATATTATTTTACTATTTGCTTTGTCAAGAGTATCGTTTCAAGTGTACTTTAATACTCATTTGAAAATACAGTGCACGGTAATAGTAAAATAATAGTTCTCGCAAGAACGTAAACTATTCTAACTTCTATATTTAAATATTATTCATATTAATTATTTTGAATGTAATATTATTTTACCACTAACAGTATTTTTAAATGAAACGTTTCCATATTTGTATATTTTCTTTAATAGTGGCATGCTATATAAGATATAAACGAAACAACCAGCGAGATTACTCTAAATAATAATACAATGTTTGAAGTACTTTATAAAGTTTTGATAAAATATAAATACTAAATCAACCAAGTCAACTTATGATTATTTTCGTTGAAAATAATCGTATTTTTATATTTCATGAGAAACACAATGTTTATGAATATTTGATTCTGATATCGTAATGCTTAAAACTATTATCATCGGTTTGATGTAATTTGTGCTTTAAGCCAATGCCTAAAAGTTTTATTTTATTCTCGTTAATATTATCATTATAACTATCCGCATTAATAACTTAACTATTGTATATTTATTATGTACTAGAGTGCAGCTGTATTGGCTGTCACCAACGTTTCTCAATACATGGACGATACAGCCATAAGAAGAATGGTACTGCCCAAACTCAAAATGGTGTACGAAACCAATCCAAACGATTTGAAAATTGTCCTAAACATATTGGCGTGTCTAGAAATCATATTACACAGGCTTGAAAAGCAACAAATTATCGAGGACGTCTTACCACTGATTTGGATAGTAAACCAGACCGATCCCGAAGTTATAGCAAGAATAGCAGGTAACAAAATTAACTTTATTATCATTGCTGAATTATCTAAACTAAACCATAATCGTTCAATAATACTCTGTTTATTGTATTTCATACAATATACTACTATTTTATATTTAATAGGTAATAATAATACTGATAAATTAATAATTACTAATAATATATTGTGTTTTCATTAACGTAATTATTTCGGTCACACGGCGTGTTAGATAGGCAATTCAACAACATCCCCGTCGAGGTTCAACTATTTTTCCGGAGCAAAAGATTTGTGTAGAACAACGGCTATTTTTAGATTTAAAAAAAAGTGGTGGCCTATTGATTTTACTAGGTCTGACTCTTGTTATGGATTATAAACTTTCACTGAACGTAATTATAGTTACCAAAATATCATAAGTTCTTAAACAATGGATGAGAGGGAAGAAATCATGCATCTCTCGTAACTCGTAAACGTTAGGCAGCAGAATTGTGTTAGCAATTATTAATACGATACAGCACCGTGACCACTCACATATAATTATAATTCATAAAAATTATAAACAAGGTGTTTTCTGCAAAAAGACTTACAGATAAAATAAATATTGTTCTGTTCAATATTAAAATATGTTTTATACATATATATATAATTTATAGACGCTTACGCTACAAGTACAGTATGACATTTCTTAAATTTATAATAATTCTAAAAATAAAAATATTGAATTTAGTTAAATTTTTTTTTTTTGATAAATTCGAATAACAAATTTTTAAATTAAATTTTTTAACAAATAAAAATGTATTTAAGTCAAAATAGGTAGGTATAGTAATTTTTTATAATTTTTTTAAAATAACAAAATTTTTTAAGTAAGTATAATTCGTCAATACGAAAAATGATAACCTTTTAAAAAAAACATTTTATATTTTAACAAGATCCTAATGAAAAATGCTCGTAAAATATTTTAATAAATGTTTTTACAATCAACATTTTTCTAAAATTCAGGCTTAAATTTTTTTTAAATATTAATATTTTTCTTAATTAATTTAATTTGAAGCATAATAGGTACCTTTTTTCAAAATATTCTTTATTTGAATTTCCTGACATAATTATATTTCTTAAATTATTTTTTATCTACATAATTCTAATATTATTGTCATAGGTACGTTTAACTATAGTATTAATATGTATTTGCAGGTATTTTTGTTACATCCTTAATAATATAATAAAATAATTTTGTACCAATTTCTTGGTACCATATGGCTCATATTTTTCACAGATATGATATTATTATGATTACATTTTATTGGTAAACAACTATTTTAAATTAAAACTAAAAAACTTTGCTCTTAGAAATTCGAATTTTTAATAATTCTAAATAAATAGTTTCATGATGACTTAGGCCTATTTTTTAAAATATAATACTTGTTTAAATTCCATATGTATAACATTCTGCTAAAAATTATGTTTTCCGTATGCATATTATGTTATTTTGTTCTAAATCCTATGACCTCGAAAATTGTATTGTTCGTTTTGCGAGGCTGTGTTGTTAAGTAAATGCTAAAACAAAGTAAAGTAATTCAATTATACACTCTTCTTAAGAAAACGCATTCGTTTTCTACTTTTGGTATTAATGATTTTATAAATTGATGTTGAAAGCTAATGGCACCGAGATCGGAACAAATATAAACGATTTTTTTTTTTTGCGAATAAATAATAATTACAACTGCGTGTTCTTATTTCGCACAGTTCTAACTAACCAGTGCAATGCTTCACTGTCGGTTTATTCTCCGAGTTTATTCTACTTTAAAAATTATTAAGTAAAATTATCAAGTAAAAAATAAAAATAAAAAATATTAGTAATAATAATACAAATATTAAAAATATGTTTAATGGGCAAAGAATGCTCAAATATCGAGAGCTGGTTGAGTACCTACAGATATATTAATACATACTACTAAGTTTGGTAGTTTAATGTACATTTTTAAAACTTTATTTTTTATCAAATAGTTATTACACTATGTAATATTTTGTTATTTTTCACAATGTATATGAAAGGTATACTATGTTCAGTGTTGGGGAGTAACTTAACTTAAGTTACAAGTTACTGTAACGAAATTACTTTTTAAGTAATTTGATGGTAATTTAATTACATTTTATTGTAAGTAATTTATATGTAATTTAAGTTACTTTTTTGTAGTAATTTTTAATAAATTAGTCGTTACCTTTTTTTGGATTAATACATTTTTTAGAACGTACCTATTGATAATATTGTGTGTAGGTATATATTAAAATATATCATAATATAACTTATTAGTATTTTAATTTATAGGTAAAATTGTATGAACTGTAGGTACTATTTTTATTATAGCTATTGACAATTCGACTATAAAGTGTTACTTTTAGAATGGAATTCTTATCTTTACTCTGTACTCTGTGTTGTATCCTCGCGGACGGCTCACAGCGTCAGCGTCTGCGTATACAGCATTGTTGGAACTATCAATAAATAGTAAGAATAATAAAAGTGAGGGAGACTTAGTGGCCGAGCCAGGCGCGTATCCAGAATTTTATTTCGGGAGGGGCTGAACAAAATTATCAACATAGTCACACAATAAACAAAAAGTGGGTAAGTGGATGTCGCTCTGCTGTACAGTAGGTAACAAGTGGGTCACTGTAATGGATGGTGTAAAATTTGAATTCAATGATATAATATCATTGTATAAGAAAAACGATTCTAAGCGAAAACGGTCAGTCAGCCTATGATATTACTAAGTATATTTGATGATATTATTGTGAATAAATTAATTTATATATTTACCTATTTACGTGGACCATTGTTTTAAATTTTTAATCCTTAACTATGAAAGTTGAAAATTTTATAAATTTTTAATTACAAAATATTTATTATATTTTAAATTTGATAAATTTTGTCAAGATTCGAACTTTAAATGCTTATAAAAAAACTATGACTAAGGATTTTTAATATTTTTCAACTGCTATTGTAACAATATAGCAGGAGCCTTGTATTAAATTTTCAAGCTTTTTTACCCAACAAATAAAGTTTTATTGATATTTATAGAAAAAAAACTAAGAAAAATGAAAACTGTCAATGTCCGTAAATAGCTCAAAAAGAGGCAAAATATTTTCAAATTTTTTTGGTGTATAAAAAATGAAAACATTCAGCAAAATTTTAAGTTTTGTGATTTTTCCATATTTTGTCAAGATTCGAACTTTAAATGCTTATAAAAAAACTATGACTAAGGATTTTTAATATTTTTCAACTGCTATTGTAACAATATAGCAGGAGCCTTGTATTAAATTTTCAAGCTTTTTTACCTTACAAATAAAGTTTTATTGACATTCATATTTTTTGGATTTTCTTGAAATTTCAGGGGGGCTGCAGCCCACCCAGCCACCCCCATAAATACGCCCCTGGGCCGAGCGGACTAAGGCGTTGGTGGCAACGCGCACCGCCGCTGGTTGGAATCTCGGTCACGGGCAGACTACGGGTGCCCAATTTGAAATTCTTTCAAGCTAAAACACACGTGTTTACAAAAACCTACGGTACCCTCCCCCTCAGTTAAAAACCACTCAATTGCTGCGGGTTAGTTAATATAAAAAAAAATTAACTAATAAATAAATGTGTGGCTTGGCTGCTAGCTATCAGTCGCGCAATACGACTGACAGTAAGTTGCGCCCGCTGCTACTAGTTCCCGGATGGGTGAATACCCGGATTCGTAGTAGTAAAAACCTTGCCACACTTACACGTGTTTGCATACATACCGTAACAGGTTTTTGATTGGTATTACCTATTTAGTTTATGTATTGTTATATTATTGACAACATGATTATCCAGTGATATTTTTGAAAAAAAGTAACTTCTATTGTAATTCAGTTACTTTTTAAACTCAAAAGTAATGTAACTTAACCAAATTAAAAAAAAGTAACTTAAAAATAATTTAGTTACAATTTTGATAAGTAATTAGTAATGTAATTTAATTACCAAAAATAAGTAACTTCCCCAACACTGACTATGTTATATAATATGAACGATTTAAAATGTGATTCACTAACATTTTATAATATAATATAGGTACGATAGGCATACCTAACCTATAACGATAAATAAATGATACACAAGTGTAATTTGAACTTTTCTATGTGACCTACGTGGCTACGTAATAGTCAGCACGTGAATCAATTATTAAAGTTTAACGGAGTAGGTAGCAACGGAGTGGTTAGATTTTGACACGTAATTTTCATACCTCACATTTCTGTCTTTCTGCTTTAGACATAGGATATTATTATCTAGTTCCTTTTACGTCAGTTGATTCTTCCTATACAGATATACCATTATCAATATTGTTCCATGACATTTCAGCATGTTTCCTGTCACATCACCTCACCATAACATTATTCAAATCGTGTTAACATCGAAATATTACGAACACTATACGAATTATATCACTCTCGAAATAAAACTTCATTGATGTACAAATAAATAAGACAATTTTTGAAGTTTATGATGTAATTTATTCTTTGTAAATAATAATTATAGTGACTTGCTTATAAGTTTCCATATCGGATACCTTTGGAGCGTATTAAACATACGGGGCTTATAATTTTAACAGCACGGCATACGAAACGCATAGAATTATTAAAACGAGAACAATATAAAATAATGCGCACTACACTTCAAAATTATGGATTATTATTATTTAGAGTGAGCGTATAGAAAAAAAATATATATTATATATATCCACATATAATATATACGCCTCGTGATTTTAATCTCAACTACTCAACCCAATTCCATTTTATTGATTTTAAATATTTTGTTTCACGGATAACCCACAGTACAACTCCTATAATTACATTTTATGCGAATGTAAACAATGAAGACCAATCATATTTTTCAGTTATATACAGTATAATTTTGCGTGACAAGAAATACGGTCTATCAGTAAACATGATAGCAACGAAAATAATGCCAACGCTGATTCCACACACAATGAATCCCGGTTTGAATTTAGAGCAATTCCAAACCCTTATTGAAGTTCTACAAGACATGCTGGAACAGATTGACAGGTGAATAATGAATATTATGCATTTCGTAGTTTTCAAATTTAATTATTAAAATGTGAAAGTTAATAAATCATAATAAATTCTTATATTAAACTATTTTAATTAAACTATTTGAAAAAGATCTATATTTCAATATTGTAAATAAAATAATTTATTTTCAACACAAAAATTATTTTCTCCTTATTTTTTGCCCTGTCTTTTAATTTTTAATTATTTTTATTAGTATAATACATTGTGCAGCTTTATGAGTAGTAAACATGAAATACAATGACTATTGTTTTTAGAAACCAACGGAATAAACTCAAATTGGATACAATATCCATGCAGAGCCCAGACAGACACAGGCCTTTAAGACATTTATACAGTTCTGACAACATGCATGCACAAAACTTCAACATACCAAACTTGAAAATTGAAACGCGCAAAACGTCAAGTGCTGAGGATATGGTTAGGAAAAATTCAGCGGGTAAGTTATAACATCAATAAATAAAAATATAAAGTCAGCTATTAAAAAATGCTCAGTGATTGTTGAATAAGTACCTATAGGTAATAGTTTCTATAACATAATTTGTTCCTCGCCTGTGTCATCGTTTTTAAATTAAATTATGGCTTTAAGCCTCTGTGCCTTGATCCATTCGGTTTTCGTTCTCAAATATAGGACACAAATAATAGAGCGTCAAGTAAGAAAATGTCAAGTGAAGCAAAATTATATCTAATTTCCTCTCGATGAAAAATCCATTCGGCTGTAATGACGTCTGGTTTAATAATAATTGCAACTTGATAGCATGCTAACATATTAAATCTTGCCTTAAAGACAAGCCAAGTTGTTCTAAAAATTGCCCACCATTTTCCGCATTCATCAAATACTTAAGTTAATTTTCTTTTTCTGTTTCTTTTATTGACTGTAAAAATGTAATCATCATAATATTTTTAGGGCTGCGCAGATCTGGATTGATAGTCTAGACTCAATGGTATCACGTTATCACAATATCATAGTGAAATCTCTTCTGAAATAAAAACGTCTAGGGGTCGGGTTCATTATATCTCATAGTCTTCTCACAAAGAAAACCTGTTAAGTAAGGAGGAAAATATTCTTTAAGGCATCAGATATTATTTTTTTAGTACTCAGAGGCAAACATTTTTACTGAGAAAACTGAATATACTCGGCTCGGATATTTTTTCTTTTGGTTCTTACCGTTTTCTCCCTGATGTTGTAGATTAGGTTAATCCTATAATAGTAAAAATTGAATATTTTATTTCATAATCAGTGATGTGTCGTATGTCATTAACACACCGATAATATTTTACCGGTAAAATGATTTAATAAGGTTCATGATAGACAGCCGGATTTAAATAATTTAAACTATTTGGTAAATCACTAGGTAGGTACTGAATTTTATAATAATATTTACATTTTCTTAGTGTTGACTCTTTTTCTGGTTAATTGGTTATTTTTACGGGTACATATTATGAATTCCGCCGTCAATGCCTTTTTAAAAATTAAACTCAACAGGTACGAATATTTTACCTTTAACAATAAAAATAAAACTTTTACCGTGATAATTTTAATTTTTCTGGAAAAATGCTTAGGTAGTTCAGAATACCTACCTAACAATTTAGAATAATCACAAGTACCTACATGGTTTACCGTACCGTCCAAATTGAATTAGTTGTAATAAATAATTTTAAAATATTCAATTGTATTGTACTATTTTTATTATTTCTACACCCAAGTAAAAGTAAATTGTGATATCAAAAGCGGTGTGATAAAAAAATACACATATTATTCTGGTAATATTTTTGTTTTAAATGTTCCTATCTCATACTTGTTATTTAATTTTTTTAGATCCACTTGTAAGTGCTTTACCAATTACCTTATCATAAGTAAGCGTCATATCTCATACGTAATCCTAGATGGAATTTCGTACCGAGAAACAGATATTGTTATGATTATCTAAATTAAAAATATCAGTGTCCAGCGCTCGCGACCTATGTCATAAGCAAGATAAATAATGATTCTGATTTCCTCTATGAAAAAATATAACCCAAAAATGTCAACAACATATTATTGTCACTTCCATATCATATATACCAGCGTGTACAACTAAAGCATACAACATTTTTATTTATATTACCTATATACACTTAAGCCAACAATTACTGTAAAATTGGCATCCGATTTAAGATTTAAGTAATAATATTGTATTTAGTTTCAAAGTAGCTGGACGGCTATTCGTAATCGTCGATGTCTTAAAAAAAAATGTGATTATTATAATAATAACATAGACGACCGACGATTTTTGTTTCTGTGTCCAACAGGTAGTTGGTGGTTCGGCGGTTCACCTTCCGGTTCCGACAGCAACTTCTTGCGAGTAGTCAGTTCGTTTCCGAATCGCCGGCTGTCTGACAACATGTTGAACACGCCGAAAATCCGCGTGGCGCCGTCATGTGCCTCTTCGCCCGGAAGCACACCGGTCGGCACCGGTCTGCCAATCCGGAGACACTCCAACGTCGAGCGCCGCGGGTCCACCATAAACCTGTCACCGCCATCGGTAATTATCACTGTCATTTTCATAGTTATTAGTAGACATAGTCGTAGCTGATGTAGAATAATATTGATGTTATATAAATCATTTATTAATTGTTATTATATCTAACGCGAGACGATATTATGATATTATTATTGTTATCAAAAATGACAAAAAAAAAAAAAAATAGCGATCTAGATAATATTATAGTGCGCGTCTCACCACACGTTATATTATTATGCGATACATCATCATCATCATATTATGTCATTAGTTTTTATTACATATTTATTATGTTACTGTTATATTATTATATAATTTATATTATTATCACTTGTTTGTATTTATTTCGAATTAGTGCAAGTCGCTTCTCCGTTGCATTTTATATATAATAATATATATACGTCATATATTATTATTATTATATACAATATGTAGGCACTGTATAGAATGACGGTCCGTCGTAATATTATACAAACGAACCAATAACGCTGTGAGTTATTACTCTATGTTATATGCCGGCCTTAATATTTTTTTTGTTCTCCAGAAAACGATGATATTATTGTATTTTCGGCGTATTGACATTTTTTTTTTGTTTTTGATGACGCGCTTGCTGTGGATGATATGTGATTATATGTGTCAGGCGAGCTTTTAAATTGATTTTTTGCGCAGGGCTATCAGTACTTCAGACCGATTAACGGACACGATGGGTCCACATTGTCGGTGCCATCATCGACATATGTAAGTCATTATAACGAATGAGAAAGCCGATGAGTGTTGCATTAAACGGTGTCCGCTGTCAGTGTATACTTTATTTTGAACTCCAGGCCTATATATGCGTTCGCTCAGCATGATTAAAATTAATATTTCTATTTTATAATTTATTTAATTTATATATAAAGAGGGTGAGACGAATTTGAGATAAATGGTGGATGGTATATTTCAAATATAATTTTTCGTATAATAATGATATTATGAGGGCCCCCCACTCACACCAAAATCAAATAATTACAATTAAAAATTGGAAACTATGTACCTACCTTTAAGTTGTAAGCATGTTTATATGTTAATTACTAGAGCGTGGATTTAAATACCTTAAAATCAAATTATTTATAAATATTATATTTGATGATGGTACCCTCTGGTACCTATTAATTATATTACAAAATATTTAAAAATGCTTTAAAAGTGAAGGTGTTTTCAACAACAATTCCATGGTTTTTTTTTAAAAAAAAAGTTAAAAATAATCTATTTGTATTATTTCAATTATATGCATGTTTTGGTTTTGAAGCGTAAATAAAATGACGGATCTGTTCATTATATAATATTTAATATGCCTGCATGTGACAACAATTTCGTTTGTCAGACCGTTGTGCAGTTTTTCTGATACATAGGTAAAATGCATAACCCGTAATAAAAATGAAATGGCAAACAAAAATAAATGATATTTAATTTTTTTCTTAGTACTTTTTTTGTTACATTATTAGGATGGGGCCCCCTGGGTTGTAATTTAATCTGAATTATTATCAAATTGAATTCATTCGTATACATTTTTTTTTTTTCAAAACTGCCTACATCGTTCCGAAAAAATTCAAAATAAAAATTTCATTTTATTTTCAACACACTTTGTGCTTGGTCAGAAACAAAAATTAATTTTAATTAAATGCACGCTCCAGTCAAATAGTACCTATAGGCTATAATGATAGCTACCTATGTTTAAATTATTTATTATTTTATTTTGTAGAGAAAAACAATAAATTATCAACCACACATTATTAAAATAATATCTATCAGAATATAATTTGTATTTTATTGTTGAAAAATATAATAACATAATATTTAGAATAATTAATCGGAACTTAAATAGTTATTTTCTTATCGAAAATTTGATTTTACACTAGAAAAAATGTTATACTAAAAAAAAAAATTCAAGTTTTTAACCATAATAATATTATTATATTTAATCATTAAAATAAATATAAATATACAACGTATTACATAAGTCATAAGGACTAGTTATCATCCGTCATTTACCTTAATTAAATGGAAGATAGAATGCTGAAGAATTTAACCAAACACTATTTTGATATGCCACACTGTTCACTTAAAAAGAATACACGATGGGTCGTTTATTTTAATTTTGTTTTACTATTGTTTTTTTTTTTTGTTTTTCGCTTTTGACGTTAGTTAGAACTTACCGGTAATAAGTACGTACAACTTGATTACACTGATTTTTTTCTACTTTTATTCGATGTATATGTACTGCTTTTTAACCAGTTGTACGTACTAAGTAATAAATAGTAATTTTTCATTGGAGTTCAATGATTACGTCGGAAGAAATGAAATGAAATTATTTGTAAAAAATACTTTCAAGAAAATAACATAATACACCTGGTGAAACATTCAAGAACTATCGTGTTTTGAAGAAATGTTTTCCTATTGTATTTTTTGGTCTTTTCATTTTAAAAATGACAAGTTCCTTTAAATATCATTGCTTTGTATTGATTTTATATTATTGGTAAGAAGCTTTTTGCGCTTATCATTATACATATTTAACTTTTTTGTTTTATATAATTTAAAATTAAAATATATACCTATTGGCTAATATTTAATACATACGAATACATTGTTATTCAAATCTATAATACCATGTCCACACATTTACGATTCAAATAATATTATTAAATTCAACATTTGAAAACCAATTTATATTAATACTATTCCATAGTGTATCCAAAATTACCAAACCAAACAATAATTATAATAATTGTGTGTTAAAGTGTTATACATTTAAATAACCTTGTATGACGTATACAATACAATTAATTTTATTCGGTTATTGTAAAAATATTACAGTTATTAATAATTCTATAAATAAATTCCCTAGAAAGTTTACATTCTTTAATTAAACTAATTAATTTTATGACTAATATATTGAGTCTATCAATCATATACACTAGAAATATATTATGATTATTATTTTAATATTATAAAATAACTATTATACGTCATATTATTATACTCATTCTGGTAACAGAACTTAATTAACGAATGTAAGCAATTTAATTTAACATGATAATCAACAGCTTGCAGCGTTACAGGTTCTTAAAGCGGTTCATTACATTAAAACTGCAATAATAAAATGTATTACAAAGAAATGTATTATTGTGTATTATTTTAAATACTATTTGATCATCATCAATATTCATCATCATTCATTTGTAGATAGGTGCTATAGTCGTATACCAATCCTATAGTTATTTGATTTTTCTTCTATGACATTATTTTAGATTTAACCTAAAATTAATTTTTGAATTGTAATTATTATTTTAGAATATATTATATTATTTGATATTTCAATTATTTAATAAAATCAAAATTTTATTATGAAACAAGAATAGTTGGTAGGTAGTGGTTAATGGTTGTTCATAAAAATCCAATTATTCAATTGTTGTAAATTATACTAGGTATACTAAGATCAGTAGGTACTAGGTACTATGGTACAATTTATGCTGAACGTTTATTATTTTAATACTATAATATCTAAACATTATATTATTAATTATTCACTGAACAAATTTTATTTAAGATTTGAAAAAAATGAGTACATCAAAGGTTCTTTTTAAATACCTAGTAAATATTAAATGTAACAAATAAATTTTAAATTAAAATATTGAATTTCAAAACTTGAATTTTTAATAAAAAATAATAATCTTATACCATACAATCGTATTTATAGTACATAAATATTATACTTATATCATTTTTAGAAAAATTAATAATTCTTAAATTTTCAGTTGAGTGAATAATATTAATAAATATAACAAATGATGCACGTTAATACATTTTCTATATAGGTACCTACAATATTTAAATGCTCCTGATTTTTTACAATATTTTATAATCTTATCATACGTTATAATATATACGCAATAATTCCTACTAAAAAATGTCTGTGTTAAAATAAGTTAGTTTTAACATTAAGCATTTAAATGTATACAATAAAAATTATTACATAATATTTCAATAATAATTTTATACACGCAAACGTTTTTATTTTTTTAGCAATGCAATAAATCCATTTTGGGACAAAATGTTTTATTACGTTATTATATCCATACATGCGATAAGTATAATGTTCTTTTATAGCATTTGACAAAATATTAACGCCATTTCGAATTCCTTAAGAAACAAAAACCATACAGAACTCAGAAAGTCAGTAGACGAATATTTGTCCCTATTTTAATAAAATATTATAAGCACCAATGTATTGATATTGCCAGTATGTAACGCCGTGTTACACTTTACCAGTAATGTAAAATATTATTATTATTCAATATTATATTTTACAATAATATAGTACTGTGATAAACATTATTTAATCTTAACAATATTAATAATGCTTTTAAATTATTATTACAATTTTGAGTTATTTTTTATATTTTGTTTTATTGTTTGATTGCAACTTACGCGGAGTACAGCTTGCACGGAGCATGATTGTGAGTATTATTAAGTTGATTTTCATTAAAATAATTAAACGCTTCACTGAAAAAAAGTAATCTGCTTTAAAATACATATTTTATGAAATACTTTCTTATTGCAGTCAATGTTAAATGACTGCAAGGTAGTCGAATAATGAAATATTTATAGCGTCGTATTGACTATTAACTCGATTTTAAGATTCTAAGTGGAACGGGTACTATTTGTTTTAACTGTTTTACAATACCTGAGTTTTTCCTGGAAATCTCTTTAAATTTAGTTTAAAAAGGTCAAAAAGTTTATGGTAAACCCTTCATGGCTTGTAAACAGAATATACATACTATGATACTTTAAAAAAAGTTAATTTATCGAATTTCCTGGTATTTTTTTAGAGAAAATTAAAAGAAAAAACTATTTATACACCTACGGAAAAATGAGAGCACCAAGTGGCAAATTAACAACAACTTAATTACTTTTGAGTAAACCTAGTACCAGACACAATTATTAAGTGTAAATAAATTAAAAATAATAATAACACAGCATTATTGCTTGTGTCAGGAACAGATTTTCTATTTGGAAAATACATTTTAATTATTAAGAAGATAATATTTTAGACTGTGTACTTTTTTTCACTTTATTCTTAAACGACTTCCAATATAAAAATAATAAAATGTATCTATACAATTTACTGTTACTTATAGTAAATCTATGCACAATATGCGATTTATATTTTATCAACTTGAGTAGATTTTAACTGCCTAACAATATTTTTATTGTTTATAATAGATTATAATGCATATTATTATTAAGTACATAACCATCAAACACTTTACATTTAGTCTATACATTTTTTTATTTTTTTATTAAAATTAGAAGACTTAGAACTATTCTAAAATCAAAAGTAATATATTTAATGCAACACAATATATAAGACGTAGAGGTAATATCTACTATATATTTTTTTTTAAGTATTTAAACAATAGTTTTATGATAGTTTCAGTATGGCAAATAGACCAAGTAATATCCTCTACCCGATTTAAATCCACCTATGGAAAGCCAATAGACTTATCCACCAAATAAAAAGATGAACTCTCGTACTTCCTCTTAACAAGTTCCATTGTTATTACATACATAGCAGTATGTCTAAATAACCCTTAAATATCTATTTATATCCAACCTTATTTTGCAAGTGCATAATAATTTTGAAGTAGTGTTAATGGGTTCCATCTTTTCTCATGAATTCTAGTTAAATATCAAAATATTTTCTTGTTGTATTATTTAGTTTTATACAGATGGAAAATGTACCTTAAATTAATATAAATACAAAGCAACATAGCTATCATTAAAAATACAAATTCGCTTTGTTTTATAATTTATATTTCGATTAGAAATATGATGATTTATGATCTAAAGAATTTTAAAACTTGATTGTTTTTTTTTTCTATTTTTATCAACTTTTTTGAATACATTATGACAATATAATATATAATAATATGTGTACATTAATTGACTGTTAGTTGTAACTACCAAGTATAAAAATCAATGTGAAGTGATCTTACATTTTAAAGTCTGTGAAATAACTTATCATAATATCATATTTTTAATACATTCAGGGAAAAGCGTACTGTTCACAATTTAAATTCATCAGATTGGTTAATGCGACGTTTAATATTATTACATAAATGTTGCCACTATTTAGGTGTTACAATGCTGAAACTATTAATTAGGTTATACCGTAAAGCAGAGTACTTATAAATTACATACAAATATAATACCGGAACTATAATATATTAAACATTGTATATAAAATATTAACGCATTTAAATCATCAAATGTAAGCAAAACTTATTATGGGTTGCATAATAATATGTAGTTAAAATATATGAAATGTTGTTGAATTATAAATAGTTTTATTTCCTCTTCACAACTTTATTATTTCAATAAATAGTCACAACCGTAAAATTTATTTTTACTTATCTTAAACATGAATAGTAAATAATCATATAATATAATAATATTATGTAAAACATTATGCGCTTATGTTTGATCTGAATATTATGTTGGTAGGTGATTCAGTAGTTTGTTTGTGTGACGTTTAAGTTGCAAAAAGGTTTTGCGAAAATGTGTAAACATTAATTTTATATCCTCGGGAATTTTGAAATCCAGAATGTAATGAAATTACCAACACCTAATAACCGATGTCCATAAACCACCGTGGCACTGTGTAACGGACCTCGAACAATTCGATAACAAAACACAATGTTTGGCCCAGCGGGCTTCCAAGTTATTTACTGGCATAAACGTTTGGTTACCTACAATAATAGTTTTTGCCGGTCTAAGATCATTTTTCACACCAAATGGAATTCAATTTAAAGTGACGATTATTAGTGTACGTTTATATATATATATATAATGTACTTTATGTTATATGTGTATACCTACCTGTGTGTGAACGTGTGATCAATTGTACTGACTTTTAGGATGTTATTTAGATTGAATGAAAAGTCCCAAGATTTGCATTGGTGCCTACGGGTTACACGTTATAAAATTCTGCAAAAGAATCTCAAATAATATTTTACTTATAACTCACAGAACTAATAGATCTATTATAATGATATAATATTCGTCAAATAATATTATTAATTTCATACTATAAAATATATTATGTGTAGGTTTAATTATTTCAATACCCCTGTGACATCTATAGATAAATTGAAAATTTGACACAAGTATTAATTATCAAACTTTCGAGAATAATTAAAAATAATTTAATTGTATGCTCAACGCAATTTATATTTGTACGGTTAATAGATAGGTACTTTAAGTCTAGATAAAACGTCATATTTTTTTTGTATATTTCATTTATTTAAATATTTATCTTTGAACAAATGAGATTATGTTTACTCCGCGAAAAATTAGCAAAGAACAAGACGGTTCATGATAAATTCAACACAGTATTAAAAATTTAAAAAAATACATTATTTTAAATCCCGCCCAAGTGTTGACTTGTTGTTTGAAAATGTGTTGTAAACGTGTTAAATATTGAGTTTGGTTGTAATATTTTATGTAATGGAGTCAACAGATTTCTGATAAAAAAATATTAAAGAAAAGTATCATATACAACTGTGCACTGTCGATTGCGTATCGATATTTTACTGTATTTTATATCGTATTATTATTTATTACTTAAATGCATCGGAAGTACGGACACACACAACGCACTAAATGCGTATATACTTATCAATCTTTAATATTATTATCTCTAATTTTACATTCATATTATAGTATGAACTTCTACAAATTAAAATAGATAGAAATTGAGTCAGGCGTTTCCATGGGGGGGAGTAGCTTTAGGGGCAGTCACCTCCCCTAAAAATAATCGTCTAAAGTTGCTCCCGTATTAATTCAAATTGACCTAGTATAATATGTATAAATTCAAAGTGGGAAAAAATAAATAATGACAAACCTACGCGTGCCACATGCCTATTACAATATTATATACTAATGAGATAATATAAAAATATTGTCTATTTCAATTACAATAATATAAATGTTATAATAATAATAATTACTTTTAGTAACACGATAATAATTATTGTTTTAATATTTTCTCGCGATTGCTCGTCAAACTTGGCTGGTTTAAATATTAATATTTATGTACTTCAATTTTGATCTTATAAAGAAATGTCGATTATAAACATTTCCCAAAATATATAATATATAATATTTTTTATTTTTTTACTCAACACTCGAACCAAATAATCCAAAAATGTTTAAAATATTCAATTTTTTCGACTTATGTTTTCATGTATGTACTTATTTATATCTCATTAGGAATCTACCAAATATTCAACTAAAATGTAATAAAAACCTCGGTACTTGTTTGTTATTGCCACCTCACCGTAATATGAATCACACAAGGTGTATGCAGTGCCACAGGGTGACAATCCGTTGTACTATGATATTTTTATTTTTATATAGGTTCCATTACAATGCTTCTAAATACAATTGAAATATAATAACAATGAATTGTTTACAGCAGTGGCGTAAGCAGGATTTTTCAATGAGGAGGGGCTTGTAAATTAGTAATTTTTATTTTGTCCAGTCTAATGATTTCAGACGTTTACTTGAGGTATTTTAAAATGTTTGTAACTTTTTAACTTTTCTGGTAGAAAAAATGCTCTAGTCATAAGCTTAGATGCCCGGTGTATGTTTTTGGAAGCAAATTAGATGTAGTTGGTACTTTTAGGAGGTCGAAATTGAAAATGCTCAGTGCTCTTTAAAATAATTAGAGAAAAAAAAATTAAAATGTATTAAAATTGTTTGTTAACCACCTTGGTTATACCGCAGAATATATTAAATATCTATTCTATGGTTATACCGTCCTCACTTGGATTGTATTTGATTAATTAACATTTTTTATTCTATAAATGTCAATAAAAAATTATTCATCCGATTAAAAAGCTTAAAAATGTAATACGTAAGATATTATTATAGCTAAAATATTAACGATACATATAGGCATCATGGTTTTTTTTTATAAGCATTTAAAGTTCAAATTTCGGCAAAACCACAGTTAATTTGTTGTTCAAAAATTATAAAATATTAAATGTGTATAGCTAAGGCTAGACAATTTAATACAAGGTATTTTATACAAGTAGTTCATAATTTTACCGAATAATTACAGATAATTTATGAAAATTGGTATGCAAATACAACGTTTTTTCAAAAATGAATTCATTCTGGTAAGACATATATGAAATTTACGCCTTGCTTACCATAGTTGACAGTTGAAACTTGATAAATATTTTTTTTAAGTAATATAATACGGCAATGGGTGGGCTTCAGCCCGTTAGCCCCCCTGCGGACGCCACTGGTTTACAGTTAATAGTATAAGCTTAATTAATAATAAATATTTCATAATACATAATTATGTAGGTATTATACATTTTATTTGTTTTAACAAACATATCCTTTGTTGTAAAAATTGAATTCCAGGATTAAAAATTGTGCGGAATAATTAATTATATTACATTTTTATCAATATTTTAAAATAAGCCAGTATAACATTTCTAAGATAGGTATACGCACTTCAAATTGCATAATATACAACATAGCAACACGCCGACAAACATACTAACAAAATCAAAATATAATAATATAAAGTACAATTATTTCAAATGTTATAAGTAGAAGTGGCGAACACAACATTTTCTTATGGGAGAGGATTAAATTATAAACATATTATGTTATCGGAGTGCTTCACCCGACACAATAAGACAATAATTTCGATCACAGACCATAGTCAAGAGTCAGAATTCGTGTATATAATATAGTGACGGGTACATTTTTTATTCTATCCATTTCGAAGCTGAGTTTTTTTTATTGTATTTGTTTGTCCTTGTGGTGAAACGATTTAACCTACATCAGCCCCCTCCATTTTACTACAATGATAAGAAGTATTTACTGTTTTTCCATAAATAGTTCATAATATACTAGACTGATTAACATGTAAGATATATCGATCATGAATATCGAAATTTTAGATTTTACACTAAAGACTGCTGACATATTAAAAGGTTATCTGGTGGTAGAGGCAATAATAAACAGTTACCAAAACATCTGCAATATTATCATTATTACTGCTACTTTTTATAAACTGGATAAAATATTTTAAAGTTTGTGCGGTGTACTATTATTTATATTTTTATACAAGTAAAAATTATTTAGTTTGTGTTGTTTCATTGATCAATAAAATAATATATTAATATACACAATAAACAATAAACTCACAATCGTAGCTTTTAGACAGTTTAAAATAAACTACCTCTCACTATAAACAAATCACGTGCACCTACGAGTGCAAAAGGTAAATCACTATGCATCCAATAAATCGTTTCGGTACCAATGTAGGTTATGTTGTATCGTACATCGGTTATAAATCACAATTTTCATACTAGGCAGGTATACATTTTTTAGAACTACTAACATTCAAATATGATTAAAAGTTTTTCATTTTTTTTTTTAAATTTTGTGTAATTACAATTAGAATTTAAATAATTATATTGGGTTGTGCATTTAATATTATAATAGTTTTATCATTACCTATAATTGAATAGTAACGATATATTATATTATTCTTTCAAAGATTTTTGTTTGAAATGTCTTGGGTATTAAATTCAATGAAGGAAATGCCATACATTTTAAGATTGACATAAATACTTGACAATCTTTCCAATAGAAATTTTAAAAATGCATTATCTTAGTGTTACCTATTATTATCTTATATACTTTATTTTTTATAATAAAAGTAGAATGCAGTTTAAGTATTTTTTATTTATTTTATATTAATATTATCTTAACGGGACAACCCTCCGCAAAACGTACTTAAGTGTGTGTCTGTGTGTATGTGTGTTAGAACATCGGTTACATACTTAAACGAATGATCTTTTGCGATTTTTAAGGGTGGTAGCATGCCAAACACGAGTAGTAGTGTGCCATACTTGCTCAGCTCCAGTATGAACAGCATCCGGTCAAGGAGGCAGAGTACATGTTCAAATAATTCTAGTACTGGCATTCTGCAGCAACTAGGTTCCGGTGTGGTGAAACAGTTATCCACTTTGCAAAATCCGGTAAGAACATTACTATAATATAATATACTATAGTGATTACTAAACTTAAAATATTATTATTTCATTATCGCTTGTATAATCTTGTAAACGCTTGTAAAATAATCTATTTATGTATAAAAATGGAGAGTGAAAATATCGGTATACCTCATCAATTGAGAACGGCTGGTCCGATTTGGCTCAAATTGTTTTTAAGATATTCGTAATTACCAGGAGAAGGTTTTTACGAAAGAAAATTTTAGGAAAATCCATCAAAAAAGTAAGAAATCTGGATGTAAAAAAGACAACAGTGGCGCAACAGTGTATTATATATTGGTTGCTATTGGTTTTAATTGGGAAAATAATCAAACTAATCAGTATTGAAACGAATACAGAATTTAAAGGTGATTTCTATACCAGTTATAAAACGATCGGATAATTGAAATAAAATAAATCGTTTTAGCAAAAATCTTGAGTCGAAATTGTTTAGAATCTAAACTTTAGATACTATGCAGGAAACTTGTTTCAATATCTAAAAAAATATTTCTGGCATAGTCTATCGATAGTGTATAATATTTTAGATCGTTATTGGCAAAGAAGAAAACAGAAAATTTTATAAAATTAAGAAATTATAACACATGGCACGAGCATCTTATACAATGGCAGAGATGTAATAAGCGATGTAAAATATAAAGTTATAGGTACATATATGAGTTTTATTTATAGATAACCACAAACTAAAGAAAAATTGATTTTAAATGTGATTTCAGTATCACTCTGGTCGTTTTCTTCTGACCGTGATAATTATACACAATTATACACTGTCAAAAGTAGGCAAAACTTATGAAACCCAAGAATCACATGTTCGTTAGTTCCAGTAATTTTCCAAAACGCCTGATAAACGTAAAGAAATCCCAGATTTTCCAATTGTCCCTATTATATTTCTTAATATACTTTCAATAAAACTAAGAGAGATTCTGGAAATTGTACAATTCACTTTTAATTTATTTTGTACCTACATGGCTACATAAATGTAGAACAAGCTAAACATCGATGAAGTTATTGTGAACAGATAATTAATATGAAAACAGGGTAAAAATATGCGTACAAATCAGAGTTAAAGAGAGGGGTTATGGTAAGCAGAGAAGCATAGAGAATCGTACTTGGTTGAAGATCAGAAGATATATGAGGGTGGAACAGTGCATGTGAGAAGATGGAGAGGCAATGTAAATTGAAATTAATCAGAGCTAAGAGTTTGGAGGTATCGATTTTACTGTTTAAGAGGTTGGATGGAAATCTGAAGTTTATCTAATGTCTGCATCAGCAAGCACTGCACAAACCAACAGTCTCAAAAACAGGAGACGTGAAAACATTCTAATACAGAATCGTTAAGAATCGAAAAACGATCTGTGATAACCATTGCCATTTAAGTCTGATTGGCGAAAATATTTTAGTTACCTGCTAGTGAATAACATAAGCCGTAATGTGGACGGTGATTGCCTAGACCGTGGTATACTCTCTGAAGCCTAGATTTCGGAATAAAGTATGCCTCTTCAACCGTGGATAAATAATTTGGTGGCCGAGGTCCTACCAGTCCATGTTGTATACGCACTATACGGTAATACAAGCTACCTGTATATTCTCTGGCCAGAGTATAACAGGTGAATCATAACCCCGAGGGTACCTCCAGCTCTAAATATTCATACCCCCGGGGGTATAATATTCCTAAGTTAATAGTACCCCCAGTAAAAATGTCATAGGATATCAGCTATTTCCCACAAAATTATTACACCTGGGGGTATGTATCTGAAGGTGTATCGTATTCTTGTTACACCGATAATCACGATACTTCCCAAAGAAAGTCGAGCTGATTATAGTTCCGACTACCGAATATATTCAACTATACTCCGTTCCAAGAAAGAAGGAACTCGTTTCGCGATGTAACTGACGGCTCTTAACGATCCAGGGCACTATTTAATTCACTCAAACATTTTTGGTGGTAAAGTTGTATAGCACTACAACTTCAAACTAATGTTTGATTAGCGGAAATAATGACCCAGGTCGTTAAACGCCGTCAGTTGCATCGCGAAACGAGGTTCTTCTCTCGTGGAACGGAGTATAGTAGATAACGTATCGCCAAAATGTTGTTACATACATACTAAGTTATACGCAAAACGAAACAACACCACCTAAAGTTGTTATAATGTAAGTTGTTCAACTTGGCTTGTTACCAATATTTTGTTAATATAGAACATAACACAAAATGGTATTGTGGGAATCTGCAGACTTAAGCCTTTAAAACGTGGTTGTCATCCGTCGTTGCTTTTTCCTCCGCATCCGCCGAATGATACTCAATCAAAGTGACTTCGAGTCATCGCAAGTATAATTATAGACTATAGGGGTTCAAAGTATTATGAAAAGTTGTGCCATTATGAACATCTTTGATTAATTCCCTATATGTGTATTCATATTATAATAACTATATAAATTATAAACTATATTCTTGAGTTCTTGACACAACACTTTGTCAGGCTGGTGATCTTTTTAACACTGGATAATTGGTTATGACTGCAGATTGGCTCAAATATGTATAATTACTGCAATGGATCCATTATAATGATATAATAATATATTTATTAAATTTAATGAAACAAACGCAAGCCCAATTTGACAGATAAATGTAATCAAATTAAATAGAACCTGTTAAATAAAGCAAAAATATAAACATAATATTTAATAAAGTAATGTATAAGGTAGATGAAAAATAAAACATCGACAAAGATACCTAATTAGCGATAATAGTTAAAGTAATAACTAATAACAGACAATTAAATATAAAATAAATAATTATAAAATAAAATATATTTTATTGGAACTTTAAGTGACACATAGATATCATATTTAATTGATCTGAAAAGAAATCAAAGTCAGCATGATATTTATTACATAAGGACATATAGCTCTGATAAGTGGGATTTTTTTTAAGTTAGTTGAATGAGAAAAAATTTAAAAAGTGGGAAAAATCTGTGATGATAATAATATGCTTTAAACTGGAAATTATTTAATAAATACGGAGAGTTAATGTCGCGGTTGATCACGTTATGGACAAATTCAGTTGTATAAATTAATTGGGCCATGTAGTTATTTGGGTTTCAGAGGCATTTAATTTAAAGGCATACAGGAATCGGATTTATCTCGTTCAAGTGACATGAATTCTGAATTAAAGTGATCGATCTAATTAATAGAAACATACTCCAAAATGGATTTAACTAGAGCCGAGTACAGAGCTTTAAAAGATTTAAGGTCTCTAGACTCAGACAGTTGGCGTCCCATAAGACCTAACTAGTGGAAAAATATACCCACTGCCCACTTTGTATTCGATGGTTAGTGTAAAATAATAATTATATAAAGATTTTTTACAGATAATACGGATAATAATTCAGAGAATTGTTATCAATAGTATCAATACATATTTTGATTGAGTTCTGAATTCTATATAAACACATTGAATGACATTTAGATAAGTACTTAAGTTAAAATTAAAATCTCATTATGTAGGTAATAATATTAATTCTACTCCAAATGCCATAGTGCTGGTTCATCCTAGTCTATTATATTATTATAATTATATTCACGCCGAAAGGTTAAATGAATGAAAACACCACGGCGTTGTTCCTAGAACAAGCTGCAGTACTCCGCCTGTGTATTGAATTTTATTATGATTTTAAAAAACAAAAATACTATTAAATGCACTCGGCTAGCACACAGAATGATGATTGATGAAGTATTAATATTATATTAGGTAGGTAGTAGGTAGATATTATTATTGTTTACCAAGTCGGAAATCGAACGATCCTCTTACTATTATCGCATAGTCGGCTCTACAGAAATTAGATTATAACTATATGCTTTTGTGTAGGTACTTACTAAAGTTACTCCTTACCAACGGAAGTTATATTATTCAACCTGTGGCCGATATTTACAATAAACTCGATAATACAACTGTAGATAGGTAGGGGAGACCGGGGCTAGTTGACACACGATACAATTTTTTTTTCCATGGTCGGAATTTCCATTTTAAATAGGTACTCACATTTGTAGCTATGAAATCGTAGCATTATATCGTCTAAATATTTAACCCTTTTTTGTACAAAATTTAAAATGTTAAAATTAATATTTTCATTTAACTCATTTTAAGAAATTATTATATAAAAAAATATCTAATAACAATTTTTGTAAAAATAATAGATAATACATTTTTTTTTAAATAACTAGAAACTTTTTTGACATAAGAAAGATATAGAAGTGCATTAAAATTATAAAATCAAAAATCTTTAAAATGTCTAGAAAACTAGTCCATGTCGAGTCACAGTGTTGACAAACATGTGAAACACGTGTTAATAAACACGTGTCAATTGACCCCCAACGGTTTTTTCCAATATTTGGCATATTGGAAAAAGAGTGGGAATTATGATATTAATTAGTACGTACTATTATCTTTATTTTGATGTGTTTAAATTAAATTAATACATTGTTTATTCTAAAAATATATTTTTTTTTAAGAATCACAAAAATTACTTTTAATAGATAAATATACAAAATTGATAATAACTGAAATAAATTAAATCGTAAAGTTTTGTTATCACGTATGATAGTGGGTAATTATATGATTGATTCATCGATGGTGCTACAGTTTGGCCAACATGCATTTTATAACTTATATTTGTTATGTGTCAACTGTCAATTTACCACTGAGGCCAACTTGCCCCGGTCTCTAGGTTCATTATGAATAATATATTTCGACACAGCCGTTATTTGAATAGTTTAAAATCCAAGTGGCTGAAAAATATATAATATTTATATATAATACATTTATTGTGATTTCTGCATACACCACGATCCTATAATATAATATAACTTGATTTAAATTCAACATTTATATTGTGTTTTTCGATTAACTATATAATTATTATTGTTTCAACGATAGGTATTTTCTCTCAAATTGCACGCAGTGCCAATGTCCAATCTAAATATAATTATATATTTTAATATTTATATACACGCTACCTCGACTCGGTTTAATATGAAAACTGTGTGACTTGTTCCAAAGTAGGAATCAAACCTATCGTTGAATACCTATTATTATAATATTGTTTATTAAAAAAAAATATTGTGCACCGGTACCTACCTACTCATAAAAATAAATAAAATGAATGTTTAATATTTAATACCTAGATTTTTAATATTAACTATGAAAAAATAATTCGATCCATGTACAAAACAAAAATACACCGATTTATGATGAGATAATAATATATTTCTACTCGCTGGTTCGTTAAAAATGTAACCGTTAGTGTATATTATTATGTACGCATTGAACAAATATTTCATATTCATGAAAATCTACGTTTTAAAAAAAAAATTGTGATTTAATATACTTATTTATAAGATTTATCAAGCGGTGGCGTCATTTCTGATTACAAGGAGTGGTCAAAAGTTTTGACCAGCCCTACAACTGAAACAAAAAACAGATCGCTTCGCTCTCAACCTCATTTCCACTTACATTTTCTTCTCAATACAGTTCTCATTTTACATCATTTTATGCGTGTCAAAAATAGCCTAATTATATAACAAAAAATATGTAGAGGAACTAAATAATTATGATACCTACCTATTTTTCTAAAAAAATTAAACTGCAATATGCAAACCGAAAGGTATAATTTGGTTTGGTATGAACCAAACTGAACCCTGCAAGTTTGATTGAAAAATTTAACGATTTGTGATAATATTAGTACTTATTATACCATTGGTAATAATATTAAGGTATATAAGAAACGTAATACAATGTGATATAAAAATATTAATTTAATTTTTTCTTTGTTATTTTCAGTACCAACTGTTTAGCGGCAACAAGTGAAAAGTCGTTCTCAACTGACCAATAACGCTGTTATATAACTTCAGAATATTAATTATTGCTTAAATTTTACTGAACGGTCCGACGTCCCGTTTAAGTCTTTGTTTTATGTACAGCTATTCCGCCAAACTCGAAACTGTAGTATTGTACATCTATCAAAAACATCATTATATTACATGCAATACAGCTAGAAATCGTCAACAATTATTATTACTACTATATTATTAATGTCATAATTCTTAAGTTTCATTATATTCATAATTTATTCTTGTTCGTTAAGTGTGATTTGTTTGTTGTTGTTTCTTTCGGTCTCTTCAACCAACCGAGTTATATGTTTATTATATTGTATTATTATTATTATTATTATATTAGATACTATACAGTGTGTTCAAGCTAAGAGGTATACTAAATATTTAATTTTGGTGACCTTGAATTTAAATGCAGTTGTCTGGAGGTAAAAGGTTGAATCAAAATACACCTTAGGAGACAATTTAAAATTTTGGAATATTTTGGTACTCACATGCGAGGTATAACCTAACTTACTTTTTTTTTTAAACAGCCACACTAATTTTTTTTCCTGATGGTAGTTTTGGTTTAAGCAGTTTTTGTCAAAAAAAATTTTATCCATTTACAAAATTGACAAATATAAAGTTAACATTTTCGAATAATTTGAAATTGTTTAATACATTATAACCATGTTCATTTAAATTTATTTTTTACATTTGATTAGATCGACATAAACTAAAGTCAATTTTGATTTTATTACCAAAGTTTTGTCAAAATTATTTTTAAAAAAATAGTGATGCCTAAATATTGTTTCAAAAATTTATGGTACTATAAAAAAAAGTACAATGTTCTTGTAGATGGGCGTTTTGGCCTTTTGGGAGAGTGCCTATAAAAATATGTGTACCTATGCTATATGTATAATTAATATGCTACCATTTATAGCTTATCAAAAAAGTCTCTATTCAATCCAACGTTATGTGGCAAATTTATTAATATGTACCTAATAAAAAATTATAACACTAGCAAAATACAAGGAAACAAAAATAGTTTTCCGCCTTTGCTGAAGACTGTCCAACCATAAATGTTTACGTTTCTTGTTATATATTTATAAAATATTTGCCAATCATAATTAATTTTAATAATAAATTGTCATAAATATTTACATATATTATTTAAAATATTTAACAAATTCCTAATGGTGAGTCGCACCCCCCCCCCCCCCCCCGCAAAGAGTCTGCTGAAACACACTGTATAGCATAAAATGTACGATTATGTTTAAAGATATTTTATGCTAATTATTTCAATAACTCGTATGTCTTAAAAGTACCTATAAAATAATTGGTATATAATTACAAAGTTTGAATATTTGATATTATATAATTGTGTATGTTAACTTCTAAGAAAGAAAAATGAAAAAAAAATACGTTTGCATATCCCGTATAAAATGATGATTGTCACGTTTTATCAAATACTTTTCTTTCGTTTAGTTATCTAGGTTCCGTCGTCATTATTACATAGAACGGTACAACCTGCAGACTATCACTTAGTTTTTTACACATATCTTCATTTTAATAATTTAATACTTTTTGCTCAACGCATTTTTCTATCTTAATTATTTAATAATATATAGATAATATCAATTAAAATAATATATTTATATATTCAGTTTTCAGGTACATGAGCACATTAAGTATCTATATATTATGTATTTATTCATTTCTAGTCTACTTAATTAAATTCAGTACTATCGAAAGTAAAAATGACAATCAGTAGCTTGTTTTAAAAATCTGCATCTTATCTTGTCATGTATCTATAGACAATCTAAATTTTATAAATGTGTTAATGTGATAAAACTTAGAAATCATAAAAAAAAATTAATACTATAATATATTATTATTATAGTATCAATTAATATAATATTTATTTGTTTAAGTATTTATTTGTGGATCGTTTGAATTATATTTTTGTTTAAAACCATTATTATACTATAATATTATTATTGTTAGTATATTATATAGGTACATAGAACTGATACAAAATTATAAAAATAGAGCCAACATGATTAATTAAAGTTAAAGTTAAAATATTTATTTTTGAGTTGAATAATTTACTGGATGTGTTCATTTTTTTTCTATTTAGACACTAAATATGATACTATGATAGTATTCTCAACTAAAATTTGAATTTTAATAAAATATAGGAGCAAGGAACCAATATTTACCGTTCCAAGAAAAATTATTAATTAATTTTATTTGTTTTACGACGCTAGGTTTATATTTAATAGGGGGGAGGGTAAGTTCTCGTATTCAAAAAAAAAGAAAACCAATCCATTTTCAATTGAATAATTTAACTTAATTTTTTTTCTCTCGATGCAAAACGTAATAATATTAAAAATGTATAACACAAAAACGTAAATATTTAGTATTATTATTAATTATCAAGTTCTATATCATAATAATATGAATTACGGATATTACATAGGTATTTAATAAATAAGTAAAAATGCAACGACAAAAACGTGTTTTAACTCGAGCTTAGTGTAGCTTGAACGTTTAAATTGCAAACTCGTAAAATATTCTCTGATTAGGATACGGTAAGAAAATTTCTGAACATATTTTATGATTTTATATAGAATTAAGAAATGGATCGTATTAATTACTCATGGTGTTGTATTTTATTTTATCCTAATATGTTCCAGGGGCAGTGGCACGACAAGTGGGGTGGTTCCCTATATACTGTCCAACAAATCACCTTATTTGTGACTTTGGAATTAATACCATAATTCACTACTTATTACATCTCCCCTTGAAAATTCCTGGGTACGCCACTGTCCAGGAGTAAGGACATGGGTATTAAACATATCTAATAGGACTTATCCACCTTATGATGGATATTTGATACACATATTATATTGATATTTAATAATATTTTGTAAAATAAAGCATTACATAAATAATTGTTTATAATAATTTTGAACATTTTACATTATTCAATAATACATCGTTCTATGTACCTGTAGACTATAGCTATTATTTTATGTACCTACCTACTGTTGACTTTCCAATATTATTATATTAAAGTTAATATTATCGATATCTAACACGGATACATGTTTTACTCGTTTTCATTATATATAGTTATCTACACATCTATGTAATAAAGTTTAATTTTCTAATCATACAATATCGCTATGTGTCTAACAATAAAAGTTCATATTGTACCAATTGATAAATGTACAACCTATATAGTATATATACATTGTCTTTATATGAAGTATGGACTGCATCTATTTGAATTGTATTTGGGGTAGGTAGTCTCAGTGTTTTGTACAAATATAGCCCTTAAAATATTTATCTAAATAATATATAAGACATAACGAAATTTATCTTGATAAAATACAGATAATTTAAAACTTGCATTTTCAAACATTTATAAATATTATATAATTTTAGATTCTGGGCGAAGAGACGAATGTATTTATTTTACAATGATGTGTGTTTTTTTTTTTTTATTTTTGTGTCTGTGTACACGATAAGTAGTCTAAATTATGGTTTGATTTTCAACTTCAGTATCTTGTTTGATGGGAAAATGAATGAGTTGGTGCATTGGGGAGGTCAATATATATTGTTACAATGGCAAATGAAAAATATTTAGTTGGTCGTATACTATCGTTTCGTAACAAATTGCTAGCAGAATTGTATTATGAATAAAATATTGAATTCTTGATATTAATCACTGAAAATGTATTAGTACCTACCTTATACAATACACATACATACCTATTTTTTTTAAATTATCACTGGATTAACAATTCTATAAAGTAAAAGTATCAGTTCCAGTAAAGGTCCGGTTTTTAAATAAATTTAAATAAGGGTTCCGGTGAGGTTCTGGTATTTAAACTAATTTAATAAGGGTCTCGGTTCCCTATATTTAAAGGGTTCCGATTCCAAAACAATTTCTTCTAGGTAAGGTTCGCGTTCCTCGTTCAAAGTAGGAATTTGATGGGAAATACAACCATAGATATTACTTATACTCCTTCATAACTTATTATATTATTAAAAGTTTTAAGTACCCACAAATAATATTTTAAATTTAAAAAAAAATAACTAAAATCTGTATTCATCTTAAATTGTCAATGCTAAGGTACAAATTGAACATTTTATAATTTGTTAATCATAAAATAGATTTCATATTTTTGTGATTTTTATGAATTTTGTCACGATTTAAAATTTAAAATTTAAATAACTATAGACAGCTTATAAGAGAATATTATGTAATCTTTAACAATTATAATTTATAAAATGATAAATAGAACATTTGGTGAAATGTCCAACTTGGCAACTTCCACGATCGAAGGGAAATTGTTATTTTACTTGGGAATATCCAAAGTTGTACACAATATTGCGGTTTCCATTTAAGATTTTTTTGAGGTAGAAAAACGTATGAAGAATCTTGTATTGATTTTACAATAATGTGTGTTTTTTATTTTTGCCCATGTACACAATAAATAGTCAAAATATCGATTTTCAACTTCAGTATCTTGTTCGATGACAAAGTGAATCTAGTTGTTGCATTAAGAAGATAAAATTCCCAGTATTTTTAAAAAGTGAGAGGAAAAACAAAAAATACCATGTTGATTGATTTAGCAAAAAAAATCCGATAACTTTTTTTAGGGTTCCGTACGGTAAAACGGGACCCTATTACTAAGTCATCTATTAAACGTCACCAGGCTGTATCTCATGAACCATAAAAGTTAAAAAGTTGAAATTTTCACAGATTATGTATTTCTGTTGCCTCTATAACAACAAATACTAAAAATCCTAGAATATATAATATAAGCAGTGTTGCCATTATGCCAACATGTTTATAGATGATGGTACGGAACCCTTCGTGGGCGAGTCCGACTCGCACTTGGCCGGTTTTTATTATAAATATTACACATAGGTAACTTTTAATTAATATTTATAAATAAATAAAAACAGTAGAAAGAGACAAAAGTTATTTGTTAAATTTTAATATTATAATTATTAATTCAAAGCCCATAGCTTATTTTCATAATATAATTTTAGAAAAATGTGACAACCCCCCCCCCCCCCGCCAAAAAAAAAAATCAAAAACGTGAAAATACGCCATTGATTATATGTTTAACGTGTTTAATTTCAATGAACAATTTTATACATTTATAAAAATTGATATACATGAGTAAAAACCTATTGGTACAATTAATTTTAATTTTAATTACAATTCCAACAAAAACACTTCGGCAAACTCCGTGTAAAAAAAGTGCGGTTTTTAAATGGTACAACTAAGGCTCAACTCATACGTTTTGCAATTGTGACTGCTCGCTTTATTTATACTTTGTGTAATTTGAATGTATTTTTCTTATAATAATATCATAATCTTATTTGACTTTGTTATATCTGTCAAACAATCCACGAATCCATTCAATGTGGTACTTTATTTCTGTAAAAGTTGCGATTGAATAATTTTTATCTGTATCCTTGGAACTTACTACTCCGGTCAAATAATAAGAATCAGAGTGCAAAAAGCATAAGCCAGCACCACTGTCTCCACTACCCACTCCTTGTCCTAAAATTAAAAAAAATTTACTCATAATACTTAAATTAATCATACAACATATTATTATATGATTGCTTTATTTTAATAAAAGTCTTTCCTACAGTAGACATTGTGTTATAATTTTCTTACAATCGTTTAAAAGATGACTATTAAAGATTAAATTGTCTTAGGTTATTACTATTATGTAAGTTGATAAAAATGTTTCTAAAAAACACTGAGTTTTGCTGGAGTATGTACACACATTATATGAGGTCTTACAAGCAACGACACTAATCTTATGTCGATGTATCTTACCATAATTCAACAGTGCAAGTCAAATTACCTTGTAGATATTATGACTCATTAACTTGTAAAGTAAGAAATTAATACGTTACATAAAATTATAATGACGTGTGTCAACCAATAGGTACGTAATTAATATTCATTTTTAATGGTGTCTACTTTAATAGTGTTAAATAAATTTAAATTAAGTTTGTTAAAAAAAAAAAAAAAAATAATGCATGGTATCAACTATTAATGTTAAAATATTTTATTACCCAATGCAGAACCGGCACAAAACTTATCAACGGTCACATACCGTTCAAAATCGTTTTTATACATTCCCCGACAAGTGCTACGGTCAATGTATGGTAAAGATGCTTCTAACAAAATAGGACTTGGCCTGGCATTTTCTGTTTTTCCCCAACCAACAATCTATAAAAGTATAAAACAGTTATCATGTACAATGCAGTGCGATTATAAAATTAACATATTTTTTTCATTATTATTATTTAATTAAGGCTTCAATCACAACGGTTATCAGCCAAATGTTATTTACAAACTAAAAGTACTTATACAATATTTAAAAAAAGATAAAAAGGAACATATGTTATATACAGATTTATTACAATTTATTGTATAAACATATAAGTTTGAAAAAATTTAAATTATTGGTGGTGTTGTTTTGAGTGATGTAGAATTGTTAAAGAGATGACGTGAGGATGTGAGTTTGGGGAAGTTGATGATTATGTGTTTGTTTGTAAGGGGGGTGTTGTTTGTGTCGCATGTTGTACTGGGTTCCTTGGTGATTAAGTAGGGTATGGAGTGGCCAATTTTAGCTCTGTTTATTATTATTTGTTTTATCCTATGAGTTGCCTGGATATACCCATTTTGTAACTGTTTTTTTACGTGATGCCATCCCAGTGGTTTTGCCATAATATGTGGATACGTTTATGAGCTTCATTTATCAAGTCTTTATTAGGAATTTGACTAATGGAGGAGATAGATCTAGAAGTGACTGCTTCATTTACCATTGCGTCAGATTTCTTGTTCCCAGAAATTTCTACGTGGGATGGGACCTACATGAAATTTATTTTGTTTTTGATGACGAGATACGTTCTTTGGTGAATTGCATAAGTTTGTTCTGCAGGTATTGGTCTTGAAGTGATATTAGGACGCTAAGAGAATCACTCATTATAAGGGTAGAATTATTGTGGGCTGGGACTAAAAGTTTTAATGCTATATCGCATAAATTTCTGCCATGCATATGCTGGTTAATGAAGGAAGTCGGAATGCTCTGACTGATGTACCGTCTACTATTAGAAAACCTGTTCCGTTGTGATTTGTAAAGTGTCTGTATAAATTAGCAAGTGATTGTGGTAATGGAGATCAATTAATTCGTGGAAATGAGATACAATGATTGAGTTTGCAGTTGAAATTGTAATGAACTTGAGAAGTTCTGTGCTTGTATTTGGAGGCCAAGTCCAAAGAGGAATTGGGATTTTTTTAATTGTATCTATGTTCAGATTAATATTCTTCTTAATAAAGTTTTCGGAGATCGTGATTTTTGCTTTATACTTTTGGAAGTTGTGATGGAAATTGGAGGTGGATGTATGGTTTCGCAGGTTTGAGGTATTGATCACTTATTCGATCGTATTAATGTAACGGATAATTTGTAGTGGGGGTTCTCCTGTGTTACAAAGGATGCTTGACTACTGGGCTAGTTCTAAAAGCTCCAGTATCTAATCTAATTCATTGGTTGTGAATCGGGTCTAGAGTGTTTGTATATTATTTTTGGCGTTGTCATTAATGGTCAAGCCATAATTAATTAGGGACAGTAATAATGATTTGTAAACTAAGATGAGGCTGTCTGGTCTGATCCCCATGTAAGAATTCACAATATTTTGATGGTGTTCAATCTAACACTGCAACTAGTCTTAAGATTTCTTATGTGTGGTTTCCATGATGATTTGTGGTCTAAGATAAGCCATACCATATAAATTGTTGAAGAATTGCAGAGGTAATCTCAGGAAATTTGGTGTTTTTTTTCTTGTTGAATATAAATCATTGAGTTTTAGAAAGAGAAAAATGAAGCCTGTTCTTGAGGACCAATTTAATAAGTTGAGCAACTATTGTAAAAGTTTAAAACAGTAGGTATATGCCTGTATCGTTGTTTCGAAATAATAACTCTGTTTTTATGGTGTCAGTTCATCTGTTTATTTCTATGGTCAATATTATTTATGTAGAAGAATTATGACGCTAGCATGACAGCCAGGCTGAAAAGCGGGCTGCCGAGTTCGGTGTAATTCCACGACGGGCCAGAGGCTCCGTATTTACAACATAGGGAAATATAGACCGAGGGATTATACAATATTTGAGAACGGGGTCGACCATAGATAGTGTCTAGCTCTCAATAGCGACTTCTACCGTGAATCGGACCCGAGAGTGGCAGGCTCTTCTAAGCAGCTGAGGAAGGCTAGGGGAATTCCATTGTCGTGAGTCTGCGTCGGCCGGACAATGAGCGGATAATGAGCTCCACTGTATCCCTTTTACCTCCCTGTTGTCGGGGAATAGAATTGCGACAATAGTCTTATCCAAGTTGATCGTAAAAGGCGACTAAAAGGATAGGACAACCCTATCCTAAAAAGGGGGGTGGTGGCCTACACCGCACAAAAGGCCAACCACTAGCCAGCTTGGGAAGCCAAAATAGTGGGAGAAGTGGTAACACTTCGAGTTGACCAACCGATGTCAACTTTAAACCCAGTCGGTACCGCGGGAGATGGGAGCCCCATTTATAGCGAGGCAGCTCGCTGTTTCGCTATGGATGCCCATCAAGGTTGAGGAGCCTACCTCGGCTGAAACGCGGTGGTTGTGGGACCAGCGCTATGATAGTAACAAACCACTACACCTTAGTGGGAGGAAGGACCGTAAGACGTAAGCCGACCTGACTCAGAAAGGTACGGATCTCGATCCGGTGCTGGTGGCCCCTATGGCGGCCCGGGAAAGACATAGCTCTGCCCGAACCTCTGTGTTTCTTAAATAGCTCTTAGTGCTAATACAAGGTACACAGTTGTAACGGCGGATGCCAACAAACCTCGGACGACCTGTATCCTTTTTACGTAGTCACGGGTTTTTACGTAGTCACGGGTTTTTACGAGGATTGCGGGCCTTCCGGTCGTCTTATTGACTGGTGTAAACGTCGCTAAGGATCCCTGGTTACCCTGGATGGTCGATTCGTATAGTACGATCATTCATATTGTACGAGGTGTCTTGCTGTGCTGATAGTCGTTTCTGTCGGCGTCGATATTGCCGAATGTAACTATAGAGACTGGTTGGCGGTCTAGTATACTGCTCGTCCGCGTTGGATACATGTCAATTGATCGAAAACAATTGATCGCAAACAACAAATTAGTTGCTCAATAACGCGATAACCCGAATAAGTAATATAATCATAGACCATTTAATAGCAGAACGGTTCACTTCTTGTTTCCACTGAGTCACATCGATAATAATTTTATATCGTAAGTCGACGTGGTGCAATTTGTACATACATATAAAGATAATATTGGATTCAACCACGATAGTCATTTTATATCGTACGTCGACATGGTGCATGGCAAATCCGAAATTATTATAGTTTCAGTATTATAGTGTACCTACTTCAAATACTTTTGACAAGTTTAAAGTTTTGTCATCATGAATTCGGTGTATGTCAACAGTGAAAAAAATAAAAGAATGTTAAAATATAAAGTATTTTTAAATACACAAGAAAAATTTTATAAGGAAAAAGTGTATTGGAAATGCTCCGAAAGTAAAAAACTGAAATGCAAAGGTCGAGTTCACGTTGTTAACGAAAAAATCGTGAAGTTCGTTAAACATAATAATCATGTACCAAATACATAAAAAATTGAGGTTAAGAAGGCTGTATCACATTTAAAGGAGATTTCATCCCAATCTACACTTAGTACTCATGCTGTTATTGGAGAAAGCCATCGCAGGTATTATAAAATATTATATTTTAATATTTTATTATAGCTAGCTATACCTAATATAAATATAAAACAATAATTTTAAATGTTTTTCTTTTTATAACTAGTTACCGAGTGCTCTAGCTGCAGATATGCCAAGTGTACAAACTTTAAAAAAAAACAATTCAACGTCTTCGTCAAAGAGAAGAAGCTTCTCCGCCTAACCCAAATAATTTTGATTTTATTATTCCTGAGCAGTATCGAAATACAAGTGATGGTGAGTTATTTTTACATTATGACAGTGGCACAAATCTCCAGCGTATTTTGATTTATACAACCCAAAAAAATTTGGATTTTATGGATAATTGTGAACATTGGTTCTGTGATGGAACGTTTTCGGTAGCTCCACCGATTTTCACGCAATTGTACACAATTCATGGTATATGTTATTCAAATGTGGTTTCCAGTGTTTATGTATTGCTACCTGATAAAAAAGAAGATACCTATCGTCGAATGTTTGATGCTTTAAAGTCATTAAAACTAAATTTAAATCCCAAAACTATAATGATGTTATATGTTGTTATATGTTATATGTATATGCTATATTTAATGTATTTAATTAATAATATATAATTTTTTTTTTTAATGTAGGTATTTAATTAATAATATATAATTAATAATGGTTATTTTATTTGACCTTTTTTTAAAAAAAATTATAAGATATCAATAATATAATTTTCAGTTTTGTGAGCAATTAATTCTCTTCGATCAATTCTCGTTTACGAGCAATTGTATTTCGATCAAAAGTTTTCGAGTAATTGTCATGTTTTCGATAAATTGACGGAATACCATCCGCGTCTGGTTATTCTGGAGGTCCTTCTCTTCACTTGTCTCCGATTGTTTTTCTTGTTAAAAACTTGATCGAAGAAATTATGTTGAGAAAAAGGTGTCTGCCTGTTGGAAATCGACCGGTACATAAATCGAGTGGCGTACCGACTAGTAAACCCTGGGCATGTTGCCGTGTTCCCCGTGTTTACTATCGGGACAGATTTATATGTTACTTGCTGACTTTATGGGTTATGGCCATGGGGAGGCTCTCGTTATCTTCGCCCTGGCCTCCCCTAACCATGGCCATATTTACATGGTTGTTGTGTAGCCCAGAGTGCTTAAGTTTGGTTCTAAGTCCCTAACTACGTTTATTTCTTACAATGTCGTATTCTAATTGGCTGATGGTAATGAATTGTGTAGTCATTAGAAGGACTGTTTAAGTGTATGGTGTAACCATTACAAGTTGTGTTGAGGTTGCTATATTTGTCCTACTGCAGTAAATGTTACAAACATCTGAGAAGAGTTTATGTTTAACAGAAAAGGGCAGATGTTTGTCAATGTCGTTTATTGCTACCAGGAAGAGAGTGACGCTGAGAGCTGAACCTTGCGGGAGACTATTCTCAATGTAATGTTGATTAGATAATGTGTTTTGAGTTTTTACACTGATAGAACGATTAATTAAAAAGTTGGCACAAACTTTATCATGTGGCCGTTAATATCCCATTTCGTGAGAATCGATAATAGTTTATCTTTCCAGACCATGTCAGCTGTGCTGAAGTCAGTTGGTGGTGTAGAAAGGTATCTATAGTAGAATGGTTACGCCTGAAGCCAATTCGATGTTTGGAGATACGATTGGTCGAATCAAGGTACCAGATGAGTCTTTTGTTCATAATTTTATACATGACCTTTCTCATAGTGCTTATAAGAGCTCACAGTGTTACAATTCCCTTTTCAGGGAAATTTGAATGAATGAATTTATGAATTTGGAATATTATTATGCCCTGGGCTTTTGCTCTTACTGTTGTATAAGACAGCGAGTAGTTCTTGAGGTTCAAAGGTTGGATAAAACTATGGAGGATGTGATGGATTCTGATAAAGGTGGATAAGAATTTATGAATGTTAAAAACTTGTCTGAGCAATTTTAATTACTGTTGTTGATCTGGAAAAGTTGCGCAAACGCTGCCACGATGTTATCCGGAGTAGCAAAAATTGTATTTTGGTTATATCTAAGCCGATCAGGACAAGGTTCAGATTTATATCCTATTAAAGTCCAAATTTTGTTTCATAGTGCTAAGTGGTAAATGTTGTCATTGGTAGAAAAAGTAAAGTCTTTCCATTTTATTTGCTTTGGTTACATATGTAGTTTCGCTCTTGCTTTTTAAGTAGTATGTGGTCATTTGGGTCTTTTTAATTTTTAAAACAGTTAAGACATTTTTTGTATTTTTAATGGCATTGCTGCAATCATCATTCCACCAGGGTGATACTTTGTTTTTATTGTTACATAGCTTTTGTCCAATTGCTATGTTGACACCTTTAATTATCATGTTGGAGATCGTGAATACTAGTATCTATATTTTACTCAAACAGAGAATCTCACTGTATTTGGTCATTATAAACAAACGGTCGATACTGATAAGTAAAGTAATTCACATATAAATAATACTAAAATCCCACCTTTCCGTGATCTCCATTTTCCTCCTTGTATTCACCATTCCAATCAATACAAACAGGTGCGACTCCAACACTAAAAGGCACTCGTTTATCCAACAGAATAACAGCTATATCTTCAAAATAAGACCCAGTGTGTCCATTATAACCTTCTGTCAGGTAAACAATTTTCACCTTTAAAATTGTTTGAATTTATATTATAAATATATAATATTTCGTACCAAATAGTTGTAGACTTTCAATTATTAATAACTTACGTTAATCATTTTAGTAAATTCGTTGTCAATTATTGAAAAATTTCTATCATATTTTCCAACAGCAATTTTATACAGACCGTCACTTATAGATATTTTATTAGATAACATACCTTGATTCCAAAAACAATGAGCCGCTAAAAATTATATTTATTTAATTTTTATTCTTTAATAAATTCGTTTCACAAATATTTTACCAGAAACGACTAAGTTTGGAGAAATAATTGATCCTCCACATATCAAGTTATGATTGGTATTTTTTTTATTAAATCTATATATTCCAACATTCCAAGGTGCCGTTCCAATAAGTGCTTTTGTACCATTGTTGATCAACAGTTTGATTTCAATATAAACTCTACCACAATCTAAAACAATATTTGAATATAAATAAGTAATATGTAATAATACCTATAAAAAAGACATGTTGACGGTTTAAAAATGTCCATCAAACGATTAGGCCTAACTTAATGATATTTTGTTCTTTCAAAATGTTGACTTTTGTTATACAAAGAAAAGTATTTGGCTTCAGTAAAAGTTAAGTAAATTAGTAATGTATATAAATTGTAGGTTTATATTTATATGACAAAAAATACATTAAATTACTTGGATTGCATGTAAATAGTGGTTTATTCCACATTCCATTAGACTGACAAATTAATTGTAGTGGAGATTCATCTTTTCCATTTGGTGCACTATGTGTTGACTTACATGATAGCCTTGCTATTGTATCGGGTATCGATAAATTTGAACAATTAGCATACTTACCATTATGGCTACATTTAATATCTAAACTATCCGATTCTAGAGGTGGACACATTTCTATAAACGTAAATGAATGATAATCGATCATAGAAAACATTTAGACTTATAATATTTAAATAAGAAATTATTACAACATACAAATCACAATACAAAACTTACTGAAACACAATTTCTCAGAGTTCGTTAACCATTTTCCTTTTCCCTGACAAAACCTAAAACGACTGGGATAGGCCTTATGATATCCAACTTCACAATCCTCATTAATAATAAGATGATTGTCAATTAATGTCCCGTGAGGTAAAATCTCATTTGAGTCTTCATAAGAATATATAACTCCTTCAACAGTTGGTAAAACGCATGAATTCACTGTTACCTGTCAAAATCTTAAATGTTAAAAATATATATTATTTCTAAAATATGTTAGTTTTAAAGCAGAAGTTGTTATTAAAAAAAACTAAGACAACACAATAAATTTAAAATTTAAATTGATACCTATAATTTATAATCAAACATGTTTACGTACATGTTTATTTATAAGTCCACGAATCCAATGAACATAGAATCTTAAGTCTATAAATTGTTGGACCATACGTTCGTTAGTATCTTCATCATATCTCGTATTTATCCCGGTTAAAAAATGAGAATTGGAATGTAAAAAGGTTATGCCTAGTCCCTGATATGAATACAATGGTTCTAAAACAAGATATATTTTATTAATAAGAAACAAATTAAAGATCTTTCTATTGTTGGGTAGTGGGTGCATAGGTGGAAATCTATTAAATTTTCCTGTGAGAGGGGGAAGATAGCAATTTTCGTTAATTTTTATTTATTTTTAAATAAATCCTATTTGGCTTTTTAAACAATAGTCTATAAGAAATAACTAAATGAACAATGTAACTGTAATATACATTTAAACTTAATATCCATAAAAGGAAAGGTTGCCTGTTGGTCCGAGTGATTATTGGTTGAGGACATGATTCTTACAATGGGGACATTCTTGTCAGGGGCATCAATCTTAACTTCAATTGGTCTTCGGGTAAAATTAACACAACATCTGATTCGGAATTTGATCATGGTTCAAGACCGAGCAACTCGTTAATAGGACTATGATCTTGAGGAGAATGAGCAATATTTAGGTGGTAACCCGCAAAACTGAGTAAATGGTTCAAGATTTAAAAAAACCTTGGGGGCTTCGATACCACACAACTAAAGCGCTGTCCGTTTTTTGGTAGAACTAATGGAATACTTAGCTTAAATATAATTTTCAAATGATGATATTCATTATACCATTTATATATATAAATAATATAAGATTTTTATTAATTATATTTGAAAAAAAATTTCGCAATAACATAAAATCATTTAAAAACATTCAAGCCATTCGGTTGGCGAAAAAATATACTAGTAATTAAGTGATTAATTAAATGAATCATTATGTATCTATGGTTATTCGTTTTTAGGTTAATCTAAAAAAATCACTATAGACATTGTCAAAAACTAGTTTTTCTTAAAAATCCCCGTTTTTCTTTTTTCTTTTTCATTTTTCAAACGATTCAGAAAATGAGAAAAGTACTAAAATATTATACTTTTTATCCCCAAAGTACCGACTAGATACAATTTTCAACCAATAACCTCCATTCTAGATAAAAACCAAAGCATTTGTACTGTTCAAAAATGTGTTAAGACACAAACAAAAACACGAATCACTATAAAATCAATATTTTAATCGATACGCTCGGAATTTAAATTTATATTACCCAATTTCCTATAAGCACAAAATTTTTCATAACCAGTAACTTCTCTATATACGATTGGATACAGTTTTTGACAAGTAATAGAGTTGATGTATGAAGAATTTCTTTCAAAATATGTTTGCTCAAGTTCATCTGCTATATCACGAACAATAACCTGTAAAAATTTGAAGCATTTTTATAATGTACAAATATAATAAAGGTATATTAATATATCGTTATGTAAGTATCGGTAGTGAGTTCAATTGTATTTGTTAAATAAAGTCTGAATAAACAAATTTAATAAAATTGGAAATCAATAGAATGTGAAATAAGAATAATGTTTAGTGATTCTACAAAATGATTTTATTCTGGTTACAGTGGAATAGGTAGGTCGTAGATACCTCATGATGACAAGAAATGTACTTGCAGAACTCATAAAAGTATTAATGGATATTAAGAAAAACAAAATTAGCCTATTTAGTTCAAATTACAACGGACAAATTGTTAACATTGCAGATTTCAATCTGTTAGTTTTTTGATTTAGTACGATCTTCAGCGATAAGTTTTGACTTAAAGTAAAGGATAATTCACTCAACTCCCCCCCTCATTTTGTCCAAAATTTACTGGGAAAATATTGTAAGTTTTCCAACATAATTTGTAACTTAGAAAATGTTGGTTTTCGGAATTATTTCTTAGTTTATATGGATTTGAAGAACCAAAATATATTGACTTGAATAGACAACTTATAACCATAACCTCCCACCACTTTATAGTACCTAATTAAAGTAGACAACCAAAGTCAAATTATATTTTATGTATTTTATATAACTACAAACTAGGTATATAGCATGACAAATTAAATAGGTATCATCACAGTTGTACTAGTTTTGAGCAGTAGATACGCATCTCCTTTACCTCCGGCCTATATTGTAGTTCTCCACTTCTCATTGATTGATATTGTTCTATGTTATATATGTATGTATATGATTGACAGCCAATAAGAACTGCGATAAAGGCGAAGTAAAGAGCGGAGGATGCGTACCAAAATACTGTGATGATAGGTACCTATCTAATTTGTCATGGTATGTAGTAAAACACATTTACCTTTCCTTGATCGCCATTGAATACATTGTATTGGCCATTCCAATCAATACAAACAGGTGCTGCAAAACCATTACTAAATGAAATTTTGTTTTCTAACACAATAACCGCTATATCTTCATTGCCAGTCCCATTATAACCTTCACGGAGGTAAATTATTTCTACCTGCACAATTGTTTTAATGTACCTATATTACACATATATCATACAAACTATTTATAAGTTATAATAACTCTTAAATTAATAAGCTCCAAATAAATATTGATATTTTAAAAAATTCTAAAAACTAAACTACTTGATTTAAATAAATGTTATAACATAAACATTTTTCTTATAATCAGATTTACGAATTAGCTATTTTAAAATATTCCATAAAAATGTATGGCATATTATAAAATTGTTATTTTAAGTTTAAAGAAATAAAAATGAAAATGTATGCTATAGTTAATATAGTATAAGTGTATATAAATTATATAAAAGAAAAATGTTTACTAAGATATTGATTATAACAAAATTATTGCATTAGTCAGTTCTTTCTGTTACAAATTTATAATCTGTATATTATTATATCACACCAATGATAATAATATTATGTAGAATGAATTATTAATATCTTACATTCATTTTTTTATGAAAATCAGTGTCTTGATCAATTTTAAAGTTTTTATAAGTATATTTTCCAACACTAACTATGTATAGACCATCCTTGACTGATATTTTCATAGATTTCAAACCTTCTTCCCAAAAATAACTAGCCTCTAAAAATTGTATTTATTTCATTTTCATTTTTTTTATAATTTCGCTATAAATATTTTACCAGAAATTACTACATTTGAAGCAATAATTGTTCCTCCACACATCCGTACATATGTATCATCGTATAATCTTAACATTCTAACATACCAAGGTGCAGTTCCAACCATGGCTTCCTTGGCTTCCTTATTACCTTTTTTGGATATTACTCGGTTTCTGATAAGTACTTTACCGCAAGCTAAAACAATATTAGGAGCTCTATATTAAGAATAATATGCATAACTCTGGACAAACATAAAAATTATATTTAATGTAATGTAATTATTTTGTACCCATGGTCATATTTGTTCCATATTCGTATCGAGCACACATATCTCTGGTCTCGTCTGAACCATCTGAACAATCCTTATAACCATCACAAACCGAAGACCATTCGATACACATCTTATTTGAACAATAGAACATATCATCATTGTTTCTATATGTGTATTCAAATGAGCAACAAAGTATTATTTCATATTAATTATCCAATAATAAGCAAATATGAAAGCTAATCGAAATTTAAAAATACCGATATGTATGTACATATTAAAAGGTACAATAGATAGTTGTGTCAAATTCAACTATAACTATAATTATCTTCCACAAGTGAGAAGTATATTTAAAAATGACAAAATTCTATTGAAAAACGATTGTCTGACATATTATCATGAGAACTGAATTAGATACTTGTAGTGTATTCGTAAGATTTTATATAACTCAAAACGAAAACGAGAAGACAGCAGATAAAGTTAGTTTTTACTTAATTAAAATGTAAAAAAAGAAACGTTTTGATTTTTCTGATCATTGTGTATAGTTGGTACAAACTAAGAATACCGAATATGAAATATAGATCGTTTATTGATTGATAGAGCTTATTAAGACTTAAGCTTAAGCCCTCGAGGCCTCAAAAACCACATTTTTTGCCACTTATAATAATATAAGTATTAAGTAGGTAATATTTATTTATACTACAGTCACCAACACTGAGCAAGATGATACAGCTTGTCGTCTTTCGAGTTTTCTGTCACACAAAACGCCGGTTCCTGAAATAATGAATTCTTAAGTATTAAATACGTATCCAATGTTTAGTGGTTTAATATTATTAGGTATTATTCATTTTTTTAATCAATATTTTCAGTTCGAATTGAGTAGTATCATATATAATTTTGTAACATATTATACCTATCAAATACATGACACGAGTGGCCGAGGTGGTAAGCGAAAACATTTCTAGGACGCTCATTAATTAAAATACTTATATTATAATATAAATATATATTATATTATTTTTATTTACTTTTTGAGTATTGACGATGTCCAACCTAACCTAACCTTTCAGAAAAAATTAGATTCATTAAAAACCTAGATAACATACTGAACACAATATAATATTATATAATATGTATAATTTAATATAACATAATTAAATAGCACGCACGAAAAAAAAAATATGGTAATTATTGGCACGTAGCGTAAAAAAAATTTGCCACCCCATGTACTAACCTAATATAATAACCAATAACTAATATGTATGGTGGAATCATTTCAGTTAATAATAATAGGTAGGTGGGAAAAAAGTTTTAACCAGCCCATAAAATGTAAAAAGAAAACCACTCGTTTTACTCGAAAGCTACTTTCAACTTATAATCACTGAACGATAAAATACTCTATGAATCAAAAAAACTATTTTATTAATTATCAACTAGCTAATGAGTTTTTATAATTTAAATCAATTTAATATTCATTCAATGATTTTTTGATTAAATTAATTAAAATTGTATTGAACTAAGTATTTCAAATTTATTAAATCAATAAACCTATTTTCTTACTTATTTGTATACCTATAATAAAATAATAAATTATTTGGTTTGATTAATTAAAGTAAAATTGTATTAAACAATTTGCATATGTTAAAATAATAGTATATTTATAAATTTAAGAAAATCATTTTATCGAGTTATAAGTTTATAATTGCAAATAGATTTTTAAAAAAAAAAACCTGAACCTTGGCAATGATATCGAATTTCCCTTAATAAGTAGGTATGTAAAATAATAAATAGTATGGCAAAATGTGTAAATTAATGTTATTTATTGATTAAATTAATATTATGGTCTACATTTCACTTTTGATGCGTTCTGTTAGTGTTACCACTTCCAACTTCCAACTTACAATTAGGTACTTTTTATTTTGTCAGTTGATATACCTAATATTGTACTGCTTAATGTATACATTTTAATTACGTACTAACGCATTATGTTTAAACTTAATAACTATAAATATCCAATTAAGTATTAAATTCTATTGTGACTATTATTTTCAAGTACCTATTACAATAATTGTATTATTTTTATTCAAAACTATTAAATTAGATAATTGTAACGTTTCTCACCAAACACCCATCGTATCGGGTTACTTTTAAAAACATATACATAATACGTATTTAGGACAAGTCTCGCCTTGCCCAGCCTCACATGACAATATAGATGTCACTGAATCGTATAATCTTTGTCCTTTGATATATTTTTTGTTTTAAATAAACAGGCAGGTGTGTTCAATAAAAAATTTTACTCATAAATTATAATTTAATATTTACCTAATACCTAACCTAAAAAAAACGGGTAATTGGGTGTCGCTCTGCTGTACATTAGGTTTCTAAAGTCACTGAAATGGATGTGATAAATTTGAATTCAATGATATAAAATAATTGTATACGAAAACGATTCTGAGCGAAGACTGTCAGCTTATAATAGGTACTAACAAATATATTTGATGAATGGTGATATTATTATTGTGACTAAAGTAATTTATTTTATACTATTAGACATTAGTACAACAGTAGGTTAAATTCATTTTTGCCAAACAAATTACATTTGGAAATGTCATTGTGTGTATTAAATACCTATAACAATATAGGTAGGTATACTCTAAAAGTGAATTAATTAAAATTTAAATAATAATATTTTTAAATTACAGCAAAATAACTAAAGCTGTTATTCATGGTTTTAAAATGTAATTTTGAAAAAAAACACATTCATATTGACTCTAATATAGGAAAATGCTGGAAAGTGGTTATACATGCCCTGAGACACCCAGGGAAGTTGCATAGTATAATTCGAAACTCTTATATAGGACACATTAAATATGATGCAAGAGTCGATGCTTTTAAGGTGCTCAAAGAAAAGGCAAACAATCGGTCGGATTGGAGAATCGGTGTTGTAAACAAACCTCATGTTGAAAAAAACATAGCTATTATGAAGTAAATTGTATTCAAAACTCTTCACCTTTGAAGGATACATTTATTAAACATTTTAGTTTTTGAGTAAATTTAATATTTAAATATAATGACTTTTATACTAGGTATAGGTAACATAATGTCATAAAAATATGATTTTGTATTTATTACTACCTATATATTGTTAATACTGGTATTCGTATTACGTACCGAAAATTAAACATGAATATATTATCCAGGGATACGTAACCTCCATTGCAAATGTTGAGCTGAGATTAAATTAAATATATTTAAAAATATAAACAATATACATTAACTTTATACGCAAGTCGTTTAAAATTAACGCCACTATACACTAATAGCAATCTTTTACCGTATACATTTTCTATCATGTAGGTATAGTAAAATATATTACAATAATATAATACACTGGCAGATAACTGATTGTTTTTTAACTTTATGATCACACTACGTTGTAGACGATAATACCAATAAAACTTTACAACACTAGACATATAATATCGGACCTTCTATAATGTATACTAATTTATCGTGATGCTGGTATTCGGGCTATGTTCATATTATTATGTTCCTCCTCCCAGCTAGGTATAAGATGATCACCGAAGGACAAACTGCGTAGGTAGGTGGTAGTGGTAGTATAAAAATAAGCGATTTGCTAACTTGTTTTAAAATGTATTATTGTATTATATTCCTCAATCCTCATAGTAGTGCTACGTTAAATGTAGCTTACGTTTAGACTTGTAATATTGGTTATTCAGATTATGTAGGTTCAGTGACGTGGCCAGAATTTTGGAAGGGGGAGGGCCAAACCAAAACAAACTACATTTTGTATTACCTGATGAATGCAATAAAAATACAAATAAAAATTATAACCTAAATATTTTCAACGTAAAACCAATTAAAAATATCACTTCTATGGATATTTTTCAACAGTATAATGGCCGTAACACGTTCGGGCACAATCATATTTTACATAAGAGTTTGATTGAGAACCAGCGCTCGAATTGGGGGGGGGGGGTACGCAAGGGGACGGAGCTCCCCAACTATTTTTATTTTTTTTCCGTACCCCTACTATTTTTTTTTACTTGGACGGGGGGCGGTACAAACTATAATGTCCGAAATATTTTTATTAAAATGTGAATTTCAATTTATGTTAATTATAAAACGAGTTTCACTATTTCATGTCAAAATTATTTTTGACATTAGTATAATAATTAATTATAATATCACCTTGTGTTTTGCCTATTCAGTCAGTAGTTCACAGATCATAGATCATATTCATGTACAAGTATAATATTATCTAAGGCACAGATACTTGTGTGTGTTTCTGTGATAGTAATATCTTAAATCGTGTTCCGAAATTCTATCAGTTTCAGTTATGGTATCATTTAAGGTGTTTTTGAATTTTTAAATTTTTTTATACTTATCAAAATATGTGGTCTCTTTTGAATCAAAAACAATAATTATTAATTTCGTTATATTATACATTGTATATTGAATAAATAGGTAGATTATTATTAATTTTGTTTCTACTGTAACAATGTAAGAATGCTACAAGGAAAAAAATTATTATAATATTATAGTTAAACAAATTATAGTGATTTACTTATTATGACTATATATAAATATAGTTATTTTTTATGGTAATGTTTACTATATTTTATAGTTAACGCAGTTTTTAATGTTTGAAATAGCGTATACCTATTTCAGTTCGAATAACTATAATAACTTGACTATGATATTTTAATAAATCTTTTACCTAACCTAACCTTATAGCAATTATAATGTAGAGTCAATCCTACTATTTTTATAGTACAAACAACTGTTTTGTTTTTTATGTGATATCAAAATATATTATACCTATTTAGAATTCAAATTGTGTGCCTGAAAAGTGGTATTCAAAATGTATGTAATTTAGGAGCGTGGGGGTTGTGGGGGGCAAAGCCCCCTACGGATCACTGGTCAGTGTTGAGTAATTGTGGTCATGGAACGCAGTTTTTAAATCGTTGGATTAAGCTCCTCTACTTAATTTTTCCCAATTCAAGCACTGTTGAGAACACACGTCTAGGTACACATTATTTCAAACACCAAAAATGAATACCTACAATGTTTAGGTATATCATATTTAAAAAAAATACCACGTCTGGGTGGCAATACGTTTACGTACACATTTTTTCTATTTTACTCTTTACTTTTTAGTCTATTAGCGTTACCCAGGAGACACCACGAGGAGATTGGCTGATCTTAATATTATTTTTTGCAATTTTTTTAGATTCTGAGTGGAACGATGAATGTATTGATTTTACAATGATATGTGTTTTTTTTTATTTTTGTGTCTGCGTGTTCAGTGGTGTTTTGGAGGGTATACGCGGTTATACGACGTATACCCTATCACCAGTTTCCTCATTTAGCGTATACCCTGTAAAATTACTAGAGATACGCAAGTATACGCGCGTATACCCACGTATACCTTCAAAAAACATAAGTAAAATAAAATAGTAATTGCTTCCAAAAAAATATTTTTATCTTTTTTTTCAACGATGGAAAATTATCAAATTTTTTTTAATGATAATCGACTAATAACCATCATCATATCAATATCAAATTCATATATTTACAATTATAATCACGGCTATGGATACAATTATTTAAAACTATCAACGTTATGGACACAGTCCACAGATATTTTTAAAATATTATCTGTATAGTTATGGTTGACTTGAGAGACTGCCGATTATAAGAATGATATTGTATTTATTGTATCGACAGCGGCTTCAAAAACAAAACAGTTAGTCACAGATGCCTTATCACAATCAGTTAGATTTGGTAGAAAACAGCGACATTGATAAGGATTTGCAGATTCTATATAGTCAGTCAATTATTTTATAAATTATATTTATGAAATTATGTAATATATTACTATTCAGAATATATTCTTAGTAAAAAAGATTTTATTTAATTACCAATTGTCTTA